TTTTTCCATTAAAAGCGGTAGTTCCATACCAAGTGTTAACATTTTTTTGAAGCACCACGTATATATTCCAATGACAGTTTGGAATTACATTGAGAGACAAGTGAACACGAGGATGAGAGAATGTACACGTGGTTAATAAACGTCATTCAAACTGTTACGATAATACATTTTGGCTTGGGCACTATTCGTCATAGCTTAGAAGGGAAGGTGGCCGATGGGCACAAATAACGACAGAGTGAGAGTCAAGCAATAGAACGCGCTTAGGCTCAGCCTTAAAACGAATACCTGGCGCGGTGGGTAAACATCAGCACCTGGGAGACAAAGGCAGTCTGGCGTGGTGCTGACCGCCCACCCTGTCGCGTGCCGTTCCGGCCTTCACAGGTGCTCCTCGCTCACGGGACTTGCCCCAAAAGGCTGTTCAAGGCTATGCGGGGGACCTTTGTCTTTGTGTCGCGGTGTCCACGACAGCGAGACGATGCTGAGACCCTCACCTGTGTCTCCGGGAGCTGGCCCTCCGCGCGTTGCCTGCACCGTGGCGTCGGCCTCATCCCCGTGGGTCGCGAGGCGCTGGCATCCTCGATCCTCCTCGTCGACACTGCCGCCGCCTGCGCACGATCAATGCAGTCGGCACGGCCCGTCCACTCGTCGTCTTAAGCGCGACAAACATCCCGTGGAATTTTAGTCACGTTCCCGCCCTGTCATTCTCTTAGTAGCGTCGACTGAAATAAGACGGACGTTTGGCGAGAATAGTTTGCCAATGTTGGTGTGAAGAGCACGGAATTTCCCCAATATCAGATCAGATAATCATTGAACTCAAGTAAATGTATTTTTGTTGTTATATATCGTATAGGACTTTACATAAATATCCAATTACCATTGTTGGTCTACCTCCAATAACATCGAATTATTTCAGTATGCATGTCTCGGTAAAAATTTTGTACAAATGTCCCAGGAGAAAGAAAAAAATCCCAGCTCAAAACAGAGGTGGATCTTAAGGAAAGAGGACATCTCTTAACTTTGTTGGTCGATAGTCCACTCACAGTCGTCGTCAACAAAAATAAAAAATAAGAAAGAAAAATACTTCGGCGCCAAATAATTTTCGGCGTCAATTTCGTCGACGAAAGTATTTTTTTTTTAAACTGCACCTGCGCCAAGCAGGGGCCTCTTGTGCCACGACCGTGTCCTTCCAACATCGCCCGGCACGGGCACCTTCCCACTGCGGCCAGCGCGATCCAGCAGCTTCATGCCGTTGATGTTGAGCATGGCTGTGTGCTTCCAGCAAGTGGATGTGCGCCTCCAGTCGTGCAATCGTCGGAAAGAAGGGATCCTGGGCACCGTTCGTGTGCTTCTGTGCGTGTGCGCGAGTGCATCCGCGTGCGTTGCTTGTCACATGCACTTTCACTGTGGGGATTGAGGACTTCCAGGAGGCCTTGATAATTAATGAATTTGTCCGTGCTCTCATTACAAAACTGACATAACGCTGAGGCTCCTCTGATGCGCGCACAGGGAAACCTCATCATGGTTACGTGGCTCATGTTGCGTCCGCGTTTGTATTGTCACCAGCGCGGACTTAATAATGACGGTGGGTGTGATGATTCACCGCCGCTCACCCTTCCCAGCTCTTCCCCCAGAGATTCGAAGAACTGTCACAATGGTATTGGAAGATTATATATTTTTATATATCGAAGTGAATGGTAGCACCTCTGCTCGGGGTGATGTGAACGCCGTCACGTACATGAATAAATGAACACGTGGATTCTTACGCACGCTCTGTAATGCATGTTATCACGATCTTATGAATCAATATCAATAAATGAATCTATTAATAATTGACCTGTAATGCACAGCCCTTTATCAATACACTGCAGGGTGAGAAGCTTCCCCTCACGCCTTTCAGTCACGGAGGTTGTCAGTTCATACTTCACCACACTGGTCAGTGGGGTGCCGTTAAACAGGTTTAGATATCGCTTGAGGTAGCAGGGTTCATGGCGCAGTGCGTGACGCACCCCATGAGCTTAAGAATTGGTGTTAATGAAATGACGCATTATTACACCCCGTTAAAAAGGGCAATTATTTACACAGGAAAGTGTCACTGAGTCTCAATGCTATCTTTCAGAGGAGGGTCCTGCAATCTGATGTTGGGCCAAATTTACATTGAGGAAGTGTTTGGCTTGAAGGAGAGAAACGGAGGAAACCGGGAGCAAAACCCCACACACGAGTGGGAGTAACACTCAACATTGTCATCTCCTGGCTATTTCCAAGTCCCGTAGTCACGCTATTAACCCACACATGCAGAGACAAGCTTCTCTGCATGCATTCATGCATCCTAGGCAACCGAAACGACTTTGAAGTAATGGAGAAGACCACCGGTAGAGAGTAGCTGGACATAATTCACCGCATTTGGCACTGCATAGGTACGTAGAGGGGATGAGGAAATTCGGAACGCAGAGATTCCGACGGGTGGCTATATAAGATGGAGAGAGAGAGAACAGAATTATTCAAAGCGACGACACCAACACTAGACGGCAGAGAGTGGAAGCCGTTCAAGTCAGCGATATCGTCGCTGCTGAGCGGACGAAACGGAGCTTAAGATGCGACTCTTTAAACTGGGCCACGCGTGGTGGATTTTATCCGAGCAATGAGAGAGCAATTGCCACCTTGCTAAATGCTCCTCGAAGACTTTCCGGTCAACGATCAGGGTGGATTTATTGCCGGCTCAAACAAGCAAAAGCGTTTGGTGATGAGCTCCAGTGGTGGTGCGACGGCAAAGCGAAGCAAGCAATCGCTTGGGCCCAAGTAGCTCAGTCGGCTCTTAGTCCATGAATAAAGTAGGGGTGAAACAAAATATAGCTCACATTTTAATCCTAATAAGCATAAAAAAAAGAAAAACGAACTTTTGAAAAAAGGTTTGTTTGTGTTGCAACCGAAACGTCGTATTCTATTATTAAATTTATTTTCTTTCTACGTGATTTTCTACGTGACTAAACCTCCATCGTTGTGTCTCTAGTCTACATATGTAAATCCACGTCTGTGTGTCTGTTCCCCCATTTGATTGAATCTCCATCTCGGACACGAGTCGTTTTTCACCTCTACCCGGAGTTGACCGCACAACGTGGGGGAGCCTCCAAACCGGTAATATAAACAAAAATGTTTTTTTATTTGAATATTGTTCTTAAAGTTATTTGTTTACCTTTCCTATACTTTGCGCTCCTATCGTGTTGTTGTATTGTTTGTGGTTGTAACGTTCTAACATTTTGTGAAAAAGGGCGTTACAGCTCATCGGATTTCTCCAGCATGAATACACATTCTGATTCTGTCTGCTTAAGAACGCCCGATGCACCAGCACCAACGCCTAGGAACGAACTCACATTCGGCAATAATACCGCTTTTAAAAGTGAAAAATATATATGTATACATCGGCAACGTCTCGTGCAATGGCCCTTCTTCACAGCACAATGGGGACCAGCTCAGTCAATAAAATCACGAGCCGTGGGCTGGGTTTGGGGACGCGAGTTGGAGTGAGTAATGCGTGTTGGGTTCCATTGCCTGGCGAACTGACACCAGCTCGCAGTAAACTCAACACCGCAGTGCGCACTCCGCCTACTGAAGTGTCTTGCTTTCTTCTCATGTCGCAGGCTTAGGGAGCATTCATTATTCACGCCACCACACCCGTCGTGATGTCAGGATTGAGGTGGGGCGAGTACCGTGAAGTTCAAGGCGGGCGGACGCCTTGAACCTGCGAGTGGATTGTATTCCGCGTTGAAAAGCAGGAGCGATGCACGCCAACGGGCGAATCGTGAGCAAAAAGTCAGGGATAGAGTTATGGGGCGAAGCATGCTCACCAACCCGGCCTACAACCCAGGCGTCGGCAACCTAAATAACAAATAGAGACTTTTTTTTTCGAATTCGGCAAAAAACAACCAAAGTATTTCAAGAGCCGCAATGCAATTTGAATACGAGAGCTGTGGTCCTTCATGAGTAACGTCAAGAAGCAGTCCTTGAAGTGCCGCAGGTTGCCGACCCTTGCCACATGGTAACTCTGGACTCCCATGTTCAACTGGATTCCCATGGTAATATTTACTTCCATGGTAAACTGACGTTCATGGTAAACTGGACTCCCATGGTAAACTGGACTTCCATGGTAAACGGGACTTCCATGAGGACCTGGACTTCTATGGTAAAGTGGATTCCCATGATGAACTGGTCTTCCATGGTAAAATGGACTCCCATGGTAAACTGGACTTCCATGGTAAACTGGACTTCCACGGGGACCTGGACTTCTATGGTAAAGTGGATTCCCATGATGAACTGGTCTTCCATGGTAAACTGGACTCACATGGTAAACTGGACTTCCATGGTAAACTGGACTTCCACGGGGACCTGGACTTCCATGGTAAACTGGATTCCCATAATGAACTGGTCTTCCATGGTAAAATGGATTCCCATGGTAAACTGGATTCCCATGATGAACTGGTCTTCCATGGTAAACTTGACACACATGGTAAACTGGACTAACATGATGAACTGGTCTTCCATGGTAAACTGGACTCACATGGTAAACTGGACTAACATGGGGATCTGAATTCCCATGGTAAAATGTTTTTTTGTAAATGGACTTCCACGGTAAACTGGACTCCCATGATCAACTGGACTCCAATGATGAATTGGACTACCGTTGTAAATTACACGAGATATTTTTTCCCACAGCATTATTCACGAATGACATTGATAATGACGTCACGTGTAAATGTCTTAAAAGCTCAGATGAAGTCATGAACGCGTCACGAACATACAAACACGTTACATGATGTCATATCAGGAGCGTGCATGGCCGACGTCACGCACTCGAAGACGTCACGCACACCCCCTCCCCGTTAACATCAACGCCCGCTGGCAGAGCACCGTGCGTGATGACGTCACGAGCAGACGTCTCCCCACCGCCCCTCTCGGTGTGATGGCGTCACCGGCGGTACAGTAAGGTCGGTGCGACGCGGTGACGTGACTGCGTCGCGCCGTGTTGTGACGGTTGACGTCATCGGGCAGCATGGCGGTGCGCTTGGTCGCACGTGCGGCGGTCACGGGCCTGGGCCGGGCAGGAGGAGGCCGCAGCCTCCTAGGGCCCGCGGCGCTCCCCGTCCGCCGCCTCTGCAGGTGCGAGCCCCGGGCTCATTGGGGGGCAAGCGGCTATGGGGGCCCCAGTGTCGATTGTGGGGGGCCCCAGTGTCGATTGTGGGGGGCAGGAACGAGGCAAAACCTAGCCCCAGAACGCTACCACTCATTCGCATCTGTTTTGTTTTGTTATTTCACGAGCTAAGGGCCCACTGAACTATGTAGCTATTTTTTCAGAAGCGACCTGGCTGTCACGAGTGATATAGCTCAGCGAAGTGGCTTATCGTGTGGACATGTGTAGCAACCACATACTCTTAAGCGGATGTTTTTTTAAAATGTGGAGTGGGAAGAAACAGGAGAAACCTGGAGAAAACCCCACGGGGATCACGGGGAGAGAGAGACACGCAAAGTCCAAATATACAACAGGCATCGTCAGGGTTGGAATCGAGCCCAAGGCCTCCTGTATACCAGGCGAGGTAGTTAACATCTCGACACCGTGAAACTCGCTCAATGTTGAACTGAGGACGTATCTCAGTTGCCAAGTGAATGCCCCCCCTCTACCTCCTCCCGTGGTCTAAGCTATTGGTGGAAACTCCACAGGTGGCGGGCGACACCGTCTGTGCAGGGTAATCACGCGTGACTTGCCACACAATGGTGCTCGGGTTTCAGGGTGCTTCAAAAAAATGTTAACACTTCGGAGAATTGGCAACAATACCACGAAGAAATGTGCCGCCTCCGGGCTCTGGAGACCTGGAGAAGATTCCAGGCATGTGTTGACAATGATGGCGAACACGTAGGACTTTTTGAAGCAATTGACATACATTTGTTATGTTACAGTGTATTCGTTTTGCCATTGAAAACGATAGTCGCATGTAAGTGTTAACACTTTTTTGAAGCAACTTTTATAGACCTTTCGCGCGATGATGCGATGAGTCTTTATACCCACGTTGAAATATCCACAAGTGCCCGGGTCACTACGCCTTGGTGGCGTGGACAGATATCCTAGTTGCATCATGCACGTCAGGGCTGTGCCCCCCTTCATTCGGTGCTTGCAAACAGCATTTGCCCCCATCACGTCTAGCAAGGCTATACGGTGGAACGTCTTTGGTTAAGGGATTGTGTATCCTGTACATGTGCAATGTTTGTTCTGTGTACGGGTCTTGAGTACGAGATCTTCGGGAAGGTGTGCGTTTGTGCAGCTACTCAGCTCAACGGGCTTCACCGACGACTCCTTACTCCAAGACCTGTGCACAGGTCTTGGGAGTAAGGAGTCATCATGTGCGTATGTGTACACATCTAAGTCTAGATTGAAAACTAATTTCCGTAGAACTGATTTTTGTGTTTAGTTTGCCCTCCACACCTCCGATTAGCGCGGTTGGCTACGTACGGTACGAAAGAAGTTCATACAAGGTTCTGTGTGCGCGTGCGTGTGCGTACACTTCCCCTGGGCGAGGGCTTGTGGCTTCAGAGTCTCGCCGTGCGCCGTCTCTTGTCACCCGCAGGCCGTTGAGCGGCGCCAGCCCTTCGGACGATGACCTCTACGAGAAGACGACGGTGACGATGCTGCAGCGAGACTCGCCCAACACGATCTTCGTGGACAGCTACGGCCTGCACGGGTTCACCGTCAACGGCAATCGCGTGATCGGTCCGTGCGCCATCATCCCCCATGCCATCATCCAGTGGAACGTGAGCACGCACTCCCCGGCCGTGTCTGTGAAAAAGAGCTTTATAGCTCATCGGATTCCTCCAGATAAATGTGCTGATTCTGGCAAGATTTTGCAGGGGGATTTATTCTCGCCCTTGGGTTTCTCTTCACCACAGAACATTCAGGAAAATGGAATTGGTCAAGTGTCCCAATCAAGGGCCCGACTCTTTGTCAGTCAGAATGCTATGGATTAGTAATATATTTGATATTTACTCTTCTGCATTGGTGGAGAGCCCCCGTGAGTAACATGAACATTTTGGTTTCTTCACTCAGGTTGGAAGCTGGAAGGATATCAGTGAAGAAAGCTTATCATTGTTTTACCTTCTGGAGCCCCGAATAGGTGAGGATTCAACAAGTGAATAAAGAAATCGCTCGAACGCTTCCTTGCATTTACCTTAAATCGTGATGCCTGCTGTTTATTACATTTTATAGTCAAATGTTTTTTTCCGCTGAAATGAGCATTGAGGTGGGTTGCACATCTCTGTTGGTGGTCCAGAGCCAGTAAAGTAAATTCCACATTCAAAAAATGGCAAGCCATCTTTAGAGAGGACCACTGTTGACTCTCCACGAAGTGGCACTCATTTTATGAACTCGGATGGTAAGATGGGATATTCAATCCACCAGCCAGAGTTTGAACTCGCAAGCTCATGATTCCAAGTCTAGCATTCCGTCAATAGCTCCACCTGGCCAGAGTCCAGATATCAGAGCAATGTTTGTTAAAGCCAGAACCCTTGCACAAAAGAACCTCACTTTAGACACTCAGCATCATCACCACCAATCGCAGCTCCTATTTTCAGATCCCATTTACGCTTTCGTGCTCCATTCTACTCCCAAGTCTGTTGCCCGGTCTTGGTACGGAATGCCCAGCGTAGTGTCGCGTGTCGCGTGGGTGAGCAGAAATCCTCGTTTTGGGGACGGGTGACCGAGTGGAGCGTCTGGACGCGCAGCTGCTGCGCTTCATGACACGGCAGGGAGTCGCCGTGGAGGTGCAGGACACGGTGAGCGCTCATGCTGGCTTTCCCACCGGCTGTCACCCAGTTCCCACCGTCGTAATTTAATGACGCTTTTCAAGCAAGGTTGAAAGCGTTATGCGTTGCCGTAGTTTCTAAAGTACGATACACTCCACCACCCCCCCCCCCCTGTATTTTAAAGCAACATTTGGGGAGGGGGGCATTTTAAAGTCTGGAGAATACGCGTTTTAATCAACGTTGTTAAGAATCATTCCAGGTGACAGTTCCCGATAGCTATTCCACTACCACTCAGAGCACGGACAACTGGAATAATCTTCAAGAAGAAATCCCCATTTTTTTAAGCAGCACGTTCATCGTGACGTATGGGTCAAGAAAGGAGTCCCACTCACCCGTCACTTAGCACGGTTGGCTGTGTACGGTGCGAAATAAATTCAGTACATGTCACTGACACGTAGTTGTGAGACCGGGACGATTTATGGTGGTGTCGGGGGTTTGGCGGCGCACGGCAGGACAAGACTAACAAGGAGGTTGAGCATTCATTAATTTGCAGCCTAAACTCAAAATAAAATTACAATTTGGGGTAGTGTTGTCAAAACCGATTGGTGACACCACCAGAAGAAAAGAATGCACAGCACGCATTCGTACTCTTTGGTTCTTTCGGTAAAGTCACGTAGGTATAAAATAAAATACATCACGACGTTTTCGGGCGCAACACAAGCGTCCGCCATCAGGTGGGAAAGCGTGGTCTGCTGCTGAGGCAGACCTTTTCAAACAGTCTGCCTCAGACTGTTTATGGGTTAGCTCGCGTAAATATAAATGCGTAGTTAAACCTGCCACCACCTGACACAGCCAAAAAGGTTTGTCACGTAAACAAAACATGCCAATACGATACTAGTACAGCACACCGGTGTGTTGGAGAGTAAATCCATTGTAATTTATGACTACATTAACCCTTCTCCCCACCTCTGATCTTCGCACCTGATTGGCTCACAAGTGACGACATCACATTTAACCCCTCTATTTAAGACCGAAGCAGGAGGATTTATACACAAATCTGGCTGTTGCCTGATGATACTGGTTTTTATTACTGGCGAAACGTCATACTCAAATTGTAATTGTGGGTTTACTCTCCCAACACACCGGTGTGCTGTACTGGTAACGAATTAGCATATTCAGTTTACGTGACAACTCTTACTAATTGCCTGTGTCGGGTGGTGGCGTGTTCAACGACACATTTATATATTCAAGCGATATAACCCCAAAAAACCCTCTAATATGGTTAATATTGGTCGCGAAAGCCTTCGTGTTTAAAGAGACGATTCTGTTGCTGGCTGATGGCGCCCCCTGCTGCTCCCCCCCCCGCACCGTGCTGTGTGCTGTATCCAGGGCCACGCGTGCTCCACATTCAACTTCCTCGTCAACGATCGCCGCCTGGTGGCTGCAGGACTCATCCCGCCCACGAAGTTGGAGTGACCGCGGTCGACGTGCGGCAAGGGGGAGGCCATGGGGAACCGCGGTGGCTAGGAGATGTTAACTCCCTCGCCTGATATGCAGGCGGTCGTGGGTTCCATCTGGGGGACCCTGCTGACGCCTGTTGTGTATTTGGAGTTTGCGTGGATCTCTCTCCCCGTGGCCACGTAGATTTTCCTCCCGGTTCTCTGTTTTTTTCCCCCCTTACGTGTTAATTTTTTTTTATATAGAACGCTGCATCACGCTGTTGGTCTGCGCCAGGTTAAGTTTAATTCGGGGGGGGGGGCAGGGCTATTTATAGTGTATGGGGGCCCCCTCTTTGTATTTTAAGTTAATTCCCTTGACTGTTTTACCAACACCCATGCCCCGGTGCCACACAGTTATTTCAGTTCCGGTTTTTAAACATTAATGTACAAATTGTTAAGCTAAATATATCAAAGGTAAAAGGAACAAAACTATTTTAAGTTTGGCAAATAACTTGGAGTAACACATAGCGATACTTTGGCTCAAATAACAAAATTACACAACAATCATTATATATCCGTATAATTTTTTGGGGTCTCTCAAAAGCGGAGGGCCCTGGTAGCAGCCTCGAACGGCCAGGACTGCGATAATCCGGCCCTGGCTGTGGTATCCAACCTGGGCTTCATTGTAAAGGAAACGATCCTTCTGTGGAATGCGGGATAATACAACTGTCGTTTATTCGGATAAAAAAAACACGGATACACGTGTGAGTTAGGCTATGAGGAGGTATTCGTTGGTTACCTCTATAATGGGGGTGGGGGGGGGCGCGAAGACAATGCATCGTCTCAATTTATTGCTTCTCAAAGTCACGCGATTCACTTGCCAACGTGTTTGCTGTCATGTGGGCACCGAGTCGCTGACCCCCGACGAGTGTGGAGCGGCTGATAGTTCAACCGGCGTGCGCGCAAAAGAAATATCTTTCACAAGCACGGTTCATTCACAACCCGGATAGTCTGCCCGCGGGGTGATCGACAGTTGAAGCATGTGTGCGGGACGTCGCGTTTATGAAAATGTGCGGCGTTGGCAGCGCGCTGTGTGCGTGTCGATTTGAGCCGTCGAAACGCCGCGCGGTAGCGTGTGCCGAATGTTTACGACCCGAAAAAAAGCGACAACTGTGAACGGTGCAGGAGTCTCGGGGAATTTTGCGGTCTATGGATGGAACAAGTCAAAGGAGCTCTTCTCTGGACGATGTTTTACTTTGAAACGAGGAGGAAATGGAGGTGATTAAAATATCTCACGCCACACGATTACCTGTTATGCATTTTTGGTGAGCTGACGGTGTGTTGGATTGTCTTTGTGTTTGGCAAGATTTTAACGTATGATCACTTTGCGTATGTATGTTGAACTTTCACACCGTACATAGCCAACCGTGCTAATCAGAGGTGCATATATGTGTGCGTTATGGAGGACGTTTACTTAGTGTCCTTGCCATGCTCGGCAAACTCGGGGGTGGGCCCACACATTGACAACTTACCCACGCGGTCTCGCCCAAAGATGCGTGCTAATAAGTGTTTTTTTTACATTTGTGTTCTGTCGAGCGTGAACATTTAGGCTCGTGGTTGCCATCTGGGTTTATGAATTAATTAGAACATTCTTGAGTTGTGAGCACGTGAAGGTTCAGCCGGTGGCAGCTCGTGGCTATGGTTTGAGGAGGCTCGGGTTACCCGTTGTCAGGGTGATTCATTCGCAGGTGTAACGTGAAGGCATCTTGTTATGGTGATGCATCAGTACCGGGTTCCCACCACACCAGTTCTCCAGAAAGAGTTTGTAATCAGCATTGTGGCGGTAATGCTGAGGACGCAACTGCCGCGGGGTTCAATCTAAGTTTGATTTCAAAATTGTACAGGAAAAAAAATCCATTAACACAACTTTGGATAACAACAGCTAACGTAAGGTCAAGTTGCACTGAAGGTCTGAGTGAATAATAATACAATCAGTATGAAGTAGTCACCAAATGTTTTATTCGTCATAGATACAAACGCAGTCTCGATAATGTTAACGTTGCTGCAACTCGCACATTCTGAATGCACGTGCGGCAGCTGTATTGGCCCAGTGGCACAACAGCAGCTGGTAGTACCATTCGTGGATGAACCTGCTTGTGTTTAGTTTGTTGCACGGTTGGCTATGTACGGTGCGAAAGCTTTACAACACACACACGTGTGTTTGTATAATCAGGCCGGCTGTAGACACCAGTGGACAAACCTCGATGGGTAGCATGACCCCTCACTCTACCCTAGCACCCACGAATTTTATCCCGTCCGTGCCTCTGGTGAATCGGGCCCAGTCACCCACAGCCCTGAGCTGGCGGGGCTCCGGTTGAAAACCCGAGAGGAGGAGGTGGTGGTGGGAGGAGGAGGTGGTGGTGGTGGGAGGAGGTGGTGGTGGGAGGAGGAGGAGGTGGTGGTGGTGGTGGGAGGAGGAGGTGGTGGTGGGAGGAGGTGGTGGTGGGAGGAGGTGGTGGTGGGAGGAGGTGGTGGTGGGGGGAGGTGGTGGGAGGAGGTGGTGGGAGGAGGAAGCTGCGCGCTTCGTGGATAAATCAAACGGCAGCCCCTGCGGCCACAACAAAAGCCACAAACACCGTGGCCATGAAACCCAATCGGCACGCGGCACCGGGCCCCCACCAAGGTGATGCGGCCGTGAATTATTAAGGCCCCCCCCCCCCTTGCTCACAACAAACCTCGGTGCCAGGAGAAAGTGAGCCGATTACCAAACCGTGAGCAGTGGAATGGAGGGTGGTGGTGTGGGGGGGATTGTGACCGTCTCCGGTCGTGGGTGCCAAGCCAGGGAACAGACCTTGCAGTGTTCTTCTCTCCTCCATGCTGCATTCCAGTTTCCTTCCACACGCAACAAAGACAAACAAAAACCCATCCTTTATAAAAGGCGATTGAACAAAACAGCCCCCTCCCCCCCCCCCCCCCCTCGTGAATCAATTTGAATGCACGGTTGGATTGAAGGCCTCAACGGCGCTGTGGCTTTCCACGGGGGTTGACTGAGCCGTGACCGCATTGTTTGGGGCAGCGGAGGAGAAAAGGGGGTGTTGGGGTGACCTTCCCGCTCGTTGAGCGAAGGTCGTCGGACTCGAGGCGTCGACGGAACAGCCTTGGGGGTTGTAGAGTGGTGGAGACCCAGTAATATTATAGTACTAGCCCCAGGGGTCGGCAGACCTGCAGGTCCTTGAGGACCGCTTCAGTCCTCATCTAATATTGTGCTCCTCTTCGCTCCACATGTGGAGCATAAGGCCGAAACGAGACCATGCCGGACGGTCTTTAGCAGCTTTCCCTTGCGACTGCTTAGTGACGTTATTTATCAGGGACCCACCGTCTCGTATTCACCACCACGGTACATTGTGGCTCTTGAAATGTAGATTTGATTTTACCGAATAACGACAAAAATGTCTATTCTTTTTCCGACCCCTGTACTAGCCCCACTGAGATCACTTATCAAACATTGCCAATAATTAGCCTTAGAAAAGACCAACACTAGTGAGAATAGAAGCAATAGGTTTAAAAAAATCATGAAATGAAACTTATAATTAGATGAAACCTAAGGGGTAGGGACATTTTAGTTAACTTTGGCAGACAAGACTACCTAAGCCGGAATCTTCATTAATAATTAAGACGATTGAAGGGCATATTGGTTAAGGGACATCAATAATATGGTTAAAAGACATTAATAATGAATTTCAGTCAAAAATGTTAATTAGGAAATAATGTAGTTAAGTAAAATAACATGAATGAATAATGAATACATATCAATGCACTCTTAAATGGTTACAGTTATGACATTGATAATTCTCCACAGTTCCATCCAGTGGAGGTTCTTCCACGAGCAGTGGCGTGAGCGAGCGAGTGCAGGGCTCCAGCTTAACCACCCTAATTCAGCTTCAGTAAAGATTAATATTTGGTTAGCTGTTACTCTGACGAATGCCGAAAACTCGTAAAAAAATCCGTTTGAGAGTGTTTGGCTGCTATATATGCTCACGTGATAAGCCACTTCGTTTGGCTATTACTTGCGGCCAGGTCGCTTCTGAAAAGAGAGCTTCAGTGGGCCTTACCTGAGAAAATAAACATAAACTAGTTCAGTTTTGGTTTAGATGCTCAGTTGAGCAAAGGAGGCACGCACGTTTTTTTTTCCTGCAGCCTCACTCAACTCACCCGTGTGTTGTGATAGCCAGCTGCCCTACATAACGACGCACGGCATCTGCGTTCATAAGATGGGGGGTGGGAGGGTGGTGGTGGTGGTGGACGGAAACTTAAGGAATAAGGCGACGAGTCCGTATCAATTTCTCTCAACGTGGGGGATTGGCGTGGTAGGTGGGGGCATCACCGCGTGCGGTGTCAAATCCTCCGTGCACCGTCAGTCTCCCCCGCGGCATCCACGCGGCACCCGGCGACTCGGACCAGCGGTGGATCGTGCGTCCACGTGGGCGCGACCCGGCCCGGCCCTCCCGCCTACCGACCTGCGCTGCGCAAACCATGGAGGCTACTGCCTCGGCCGGCAGGGGAATTCGCGACGGCAAAAACGCAGGTGACGCCGCGGTGCTCGCCGCGAGCGGTGACGGAAACGCACTCCGGTATATATATATGTGTGGTTATGTCGAATTGTTATTGACTCGCCACACGCCCGCCGTCCAGGTCTGGCAAACCGAGCTCCGCATGTCCCCCGAGGGAGGCGCCCCTCTCTCGGCGCGCCCCGAAACCGCGAGCGCACCGCCGCCTGCGACCTGACCCCCTGGCCGTGCGACACGCGACACGAAGAGGCCGAGGTGCCGTTCGCCAACGCCGCCACCGCCGGAGACGCGCCCGCGGAGACGCGCGACGAGGAGAGCAGCGCAGAGCGGCTGTGCGTTTTCTCACCGTACCTCCATCTGCGCTCGAGATTTGCCCCAGTTGTTCTTTTTTGTACGTGCGTCCGTTGAACTTCTTTCGCACCGTACGTAGCCGACCGTGAGCGTCGGAGGCGCGGGGGTGGGACAACAAACTAAACGCAAAAAAAAACAGTTCCAAATAAATTAACTTTCAATCTGGGTTATTTTAAAGCGCATCGCTCCCAGTGGCTTCCTAATATCGGGAGGAAGAGCGTTCCAGACGGCCGCAGAAGCGCATCTGAAAGCGCGCGATGCGGTGATCACCGTCTTTGTTCGATGTACACCCAAAAACTGCTGCTGCTGCCGCTGCGAGGATAACCGCCGGAGTTCGTGTGGTTTATGCTCCTTCTGGTTCATTTGTGGCAAGCACTTTGTGTGTAATGTGTGCGACCATACAACGTAAATGTTTATCCTGACCCGCCTTCAACAATTGGCCTAGGTATACATCAACCTACGTTCAGTTTCTTATCCTACCCCCGCACCTCCGGTACGGCTGGCTATGTACGGTGAAAAAGAAATTCAACACGCACACATACATAACCTGCTTTTCTTTGTGATGGTAACCCTTCCATAATTACTTTTGTTAGATTGCAAACTTGTTATGTACCTACCTGCTTGCATACATTTATACTCAGCTGAATGCTTTTGCATCGTCTACGGCGAGATGTAATGCCATCTTTAGTATGATTTCCCATGGGTATGTAGCATGCACACCTGTTAACCCATACGGTTTACTCCGTATTCTTGTGCAGGGAAATAGAGTTTTCAGGTCCATACGGCGTACAGCCGCTCCAATACGGGCAAAAAAAACATGTTTGTTTCGCCATTGTGATGGGACTTTGTAGGATGAACGTTGAGATTTGTAAGGGGCACGGGGTGACCAATAAGGTCTGAATTGGTCTGTAATGAGGTAGGCAATGATTAGGGGTTGACAGCTGTGAGCATGGTCGTGGTCATTGTCTCAATATATCTTCAATTTGGTTTTGCCTTCTTATTGACATTCCTTCATATATTGATGAGTGATTGCAAGGGCAATGCATAAGTTATCGAAGCATGTTCTTCGTCTGCATGTTTTATGCAACGCATGTGTGCTTCATGCAGACGTGATGCCTTGTGATAATTTATATAATAGGTGTCTATTTGGCGTTTGAACATCTCAACAGCTCCTGTATTCTGGAGCGGGCAGCGTCAAGACTGTCCTCGTTTCCATCGGCAATTGCGGGATAGCACGGCACAAGAGCCCGCTTAAAAACCAAGCTCCGTCATCTCCGCCCACGGGAATTCCTCATCATGCACACGCGTGTGCACCAGTGTCGGACGAAGCTCGTGCGGGGCCTGTAGCATATTGTTGTAAAGGGGCCCTAAATATATAATTTAAAAAGACACGTTAATATTAAAACACAATTTTTTTTAACTTGCACAGTAAATGTATTGTATTTTTTATTTGCTATAGAGCAACAGATAATACGATAAATCTCTGACCTTAAACACCCAGTCGTTCGTAAAAGTTGAAGGCGGTATAGTACTATAGTAATAGAGCAAGTGCAGAATCACTGAACCGGAATTGATAACTTGAAAGCGTTTAGCGCGGGGCCCTTGAAAATGCGGGGCCTGTACTACACATGTGTAGCTACTACTACACATGTGTAGTAGCATCTACTAAATGTGTAGTAGCTACTACATGTGTAGCTACTACACATGTGCAGTAGCATCTACTACATGTGTAGCTACTTTTGCTACTACGATCATCCGGCACTGGTGTGCACGTATCCCCCTCCACTCCCCCCCCACCTCACAGGGTACAACACAGACAGCGGCCTCCACGCGTCCACGGCAGGCGGAGCCGTCCGCCGAACCTCGGCCGCTGCCGGGGCCGGACGCCCCCGCGTGCTGCGAGCCCGGCGCCATCTCCAGCCTGCGCTTCAGTCGCAACTTCACCTTCTCGTTCTTCGAGCTGCCCTACGAGCCCGGCTTGCGGCGCGACGCGCGACGCAGCCGCGACGTGCGCGTGCTCATGAACCGGGTGTTGCACTAGCGCACGCCGAGGGGCCGGGAGGGGGCTTCACGGAGCTGTGGGGGCTACCGCGACTTTGCTCGATTTCTTGAATCCAGATTGTGGCGTGGTTGGGTCCACCGGTTCGCGTGTGACTTAGCACGTTCGTTCCTCGATTTTTAAAACTCCCGATTGTGGCATCGTGGGTCACTTTGTTCGTCGCGTGTGACTTTGCTGGTTCGTTCCTCGATTTCTTGAATCCCGATTGTGGCATGGTTGGGTCCACCTATTTCGCGTGTGACTTTGCTCGTTCGTTCCTCGATTATTTTCTTGAATCCCGATTGTGGAATCTGGAGCAACGGAGAAAAGCAAACGGCGCGAACGAGATGGGCAAAAATGAGAGACGTTAACGAGATCAAAATTAAGACTACAAAAAATAACTGGTTCTTGAATACGATTGTCTCTGAAATCGTGACCATACCCCAAAACCACCAGGAGGGTGAATCATTACATGCGACAGAAGAGTCTGGCCCTTTTCTTTATGCACAAGGTTAAGGGCTTTATTATCCGGCAAATCATTCTCTCTTACCCTCACCTTGCCTGACGCTCACCCAACCCTCCAGCTCTTTTCCCTTTTGAATTCTCCCACCAATTATCTTGCTCCCCGTGCCCGAACCGATCAGAGCGTGGAGTGTTTACTCCCGCCTTTTTAATCTCACAGGCATTGTGTGGGACAATCGCTAGATATGCTTACTGGTTATCATGGAACCATCTTCGATTAGCACGGTTGGCTACAGTGAGGGAAAAAAAAGTATTTGATCCCCTGCTGATATTGTACGTTTGCCCACTGACAAATAAATGATCAGTCTAATTTTAATGGTAGGTTTATTTGAACAGTGAGAGACAGAATAACAACAAAAATCTAGAAAAACGCATGTCAAAAATGTTATAAGTTGATTTGCATTTTAATGAGGGAAATAAGTATTTGACCCCTCTGCAAAACATTACATTAGTACTTGGTGGCAAAACCCTTGTTGGCAATCACAGAGGTCAGACGTTTCTTGTAGTTGGCCACCATGTTTGCACACATTTCAGGAGGGATTTTGTCCACTCCTCTTTGCAGATCTTCTCCAAGTCATTAAGGTTTCGAGGCTGACGTTTGGCAACTCGAACCTTCAGCTCCCTCCACAGCTTTTCTATGGGAATAAGGTCTGGAGAGTGGCTAGGCCACTCCAGGACCTTAATATGCTTCTTCTTGAGCCACTCCTTTGTTGCCTTGGCCGTGTTTTAGGTCATTGTCATGCTGGAATTCCCATCCACGACCCATTTTCAATGCCCTGGCTGAGGGAAGGAGGTTCTCACCCAAGAATTGACGGTACATGGCCCCGTCCATTGTCCCTTTGATGCGGTGAAGTTGTCCTGTCCCCTTAGCAGAAAAACACCCCCAAAGCATAATGTTTCCACCTCCATATTTGACGGTGGGGATGGTGTTCTTGGGGTCATAGGCAGCATTCCTCCTCCAAACACGGCGAGTTGAGTTGATGCCAAAGAGCTCCATTTTGGTCTCATCTGACCACAACACTTTCACCCAGTTGTCCTCTGAATCATTCAGATGTTCATTGGCAAACTTCAGACGGGCATGTATATGCGCTTTCTTGAGCAGGGGGACCTTGCGGGCGCTGCAGGATTTCAGTCCTTCACGGCGTAGTGTGTTACCAATTGTTTGCTTGGTGACTATGGTCCCAGCTGCCTTGAGATCATTGACAAAATCCTCCCGTGTAGTTCTGGGCTGATTCCTCACCGTTCTCATGATCATTGCAACTCCACGAGGTGAGATCCTGCATGGAACCTCAGGCCGAGGGAGATTGACAGTTATTTTGTGTTTCTTCCATTTGCGAATAATCGCACCAACTGTTGTCACCTTCTCGCCAAGCTGCTTGACAATGGTCTTGTAGCCCATTCCAGCCTTGTGTAGGTCTACAATCTTGTCCTTGACATCCTTGGAGAGCTCTTTGGTCTTGGCCATGGTGGAAAGTTTGGAATCTGATTGATTGCTTGTGGACAGGTGTCTTTATACAGGTAACAAGCTGAGATTAGGAGCACTCCCTTTAAGAGTGTGCTCCTAATTTCAGCTCGTTACCTGTATAAAAGACACCTGGGAGCCAGAAATCTTTCTGATTGAGAGGGGGTCAAATACTTATTTCCCTCATTAAAATGCAAATCAATTTATAACATTTTTGACATGCGTTTTTCTGGAATTTGTTGTTGTTATTCTATCTCTCACTGTTCAAATAAACCTTCCATTAAAATTAGACCGATCATTTCTTTGTCAGTGGGCAAACGTACAAAATCAGCGGGGGATCAAATACTTTTTTCCCTCACTGTACATACGGTGCGAAAGACGTTCAACATACAGTATTTCAATAAATAAGTCCTGTCTTAGATACATACTCCGGTTGTTTTCTGGATTGTTGAACATGAGTTTAAAAGTTGTTAGACTCAACCCAAAATGGAACTTTTATTTTGTACGTAACTATGCCGTGAATCCTAGGCCGTCGGCCATCCATGTAAACATTTGTTAATTTAAAACAGACTAAGTTCTAATAAGGTCATTATAACACTGAAGTGACATCACTTTCATATGTATTGATAATCAGTACAATGACAGCAGAGATATGCAACCGGGTCCCTGTGAATGTATTGGTTGTGTCACTGACAAATATTTAAGCTCATGTTAGACAGCCCAGAATACAGAGAAGGTATCTATATATTTTGGGTAGAAGCTTGCTTTAAAATAGAAAGCTATTTTAGCTATCAAGTTACAGGAACTGCAATGTGTGTATCTATTAATCAACCCAGGCCTCTAAAATTATTACCAATATTTTGCTTTAATATACTCGATCAATAATTATTAATCCTAATCAAACTCAAGGCGATACATTGCAATACAAATGTAATAAAGACGCCTAATACAGTACATACAAGATCAATGTTTAAACTACCATTGCAAGCCAGTGTGGTCTAGTACAATGTTGACATTTAAACAATATATTTATTTGTGAATGTATTGTACCGAATGCCTAAATGTACACAACGTTTATTAGCGATAGGGTCAATGAATTAGTTTAAATATCACAAAGTTAAACATTTGCGTCACCAATCCCTTAAGTAAACTACTTAAGAGGATGCAATCCAAAGCAATAACAGCTGTGGTAAAATACACACTTACTCTAGCCTGGACTCTTGACGAAGTTTGAAGCACCATAAGTGAGAGAATATTAGAATTTCAGATGCACTCTGATGTCAGTGGTACGACTGCGATACGTTTTTTTTTTCCTTTTCATGTAATCGGATTAAGTATCCATTCGGATATTTTGCAGAACAGTGTTACTCTGTTAGAAACGGCTCACTGAAGCAAATATAACATGTGAAATCCTAAGTGACCTCTCATTCACTCAGTAGATGGTAGCACTTTCCCAACCTCCTGTTACAGAGCAGTGTTCATCACATGACAATCAAACCGATTACTTTCATTCTCCCAGCTGGAATTTATCCAACTTGGTGCAGAACCAATTAAATGTAATGTCCTTTTGTGGAGTCACTGGTGACCAGGCTGAAGATATAAACTCACTACACTTGAAAGTTTGGTTTGTATGCATGTTAAACTTGAGCAATGTACGGAGCCAACCGTGCTAATCGGCATGGTTGGGTCCACACAAAAGCAGTTCTTAATCACAAGTAGTTGCCTAAATTTTAACCCTGGTTTTCAGCAGTGACAGCTAGGCACTCTTAACCTCTTAACCACCCAGGCTTCTTGGCTGTTATATTTAGAATACATCACTCTAGAGCCCGAATGAAGGTTGCTTTAGTTGTTCTATTATGAATGAAGCGTCAACTCACAAAGACACGTGAATGGAGACACGTGAATGCCTAACAAGATCTGTTTGTTTTTTGGATCCATCTTGTCTAAAGCACAATGCCTAACAACACCCTGAGCTTACAACCAGTCAGAGTATTGAACTAAAGATAAAAAACACAATGAATGCCAGAACAAAACACTTTAAATACGCACAAAATCAATTTATTCTTTACACCACGCATTAATCGTTAAAATATAAAAACAAAACCGAAAAAAATCACTCATTCACATTGCGCGACCTGCTTGTTCATCGTGTGGACATCAAAACAATTTGCATTTGTACAAAACTCGGCACCCGGCCACATACTATACACTTTACAATTAGTCACACGCTCTTTGCGGATAAAATTAGACACCGAGCCGGGCCAACACAAACGTGGCTCTTGTTACGCTGTGGTGTGCTGCAGAGTGGAATTCTGTAAATTTCATACTGGGTTGAGTCGGAATGGACACATCCTGTCATCTAGTTGAGTCAAAATCTATCAGCGTGAACATTTCACACTTTCAGGACTTTAACTACAACACGAAATATTTGTACAGTCCACAGTTATGGAGCAAGTACTTTGTGTGATGCATTAAAATCACAGCAAGGAATGTGTCCACAACTGTGAATAAAATTTCAACCAATGCCTATGACTTTACTGTCACCATACAGCCAAGCAGTTTAATTAGTGGTCTGACCAATACAACAGCATGAACATGTCGTACGGTTGGAATTGGTGTGAATTGTAATAGAGGATCATTCTGTAAACAGCCTTCATGTGTCCGGGGGAGGAATGAAAAACCATTAATAAAATAATGGTACATCTGCCACAACATACACATATAAATTAAAAACACTGCTGATTTGTGTACCATGGTTAGGTCACACATTCAGAGACAATGATCCTGTTTGTACCTGTGGGCTTTTTTGTTGTTGCAACATTTACCAAAACCACTTTTACAAAATCACTTGAAGCACTGAAACTGGCATGTGAGTGATGAAGAAGGCAAATTATTCAGCCCCGACACTGATCTTCAGCAGCCAACCGTTGCAAGGAATGTAATGACATTTTCACCATACAAAATACAGCAAACACGACAATTGCAAAATCACATCACAGCACCATGGGCCAGAATTGGCTTAAACTCCAGCAACCTCTATCAAGAAAGAGCATGGAACCTTGAGCCTGTCTCCTGGGCACTCTTGACAATGCTACGAGTAATATTAAAACTGAGAAATATCTTATTCGAATCAAAATTGCCCTATTTTCACACCTATAGCTCGAGAAACTTCCAATTCTGAGAATGGAATTATTTATGAGGTCTATTGAAGTCGTGCACTGTGATTTAAGCATGCTATTTACAGTATACTTCCTTATTAGAAGTTTCTATAATTGGATGAATTGCATCATATTTAGCTTATTCACTGCATCTGAATGTGCACATTTAAAAATCTATATAAAGGACATACATTTCTATCCTGGCTACGAGTAGGACAAATTATTGTTTTGGAACGACATATAAATTTGAAGCCATATCAAATCTCAAAGGACATTAACTTTGTATCCTTCATCAAATCCACAAATAATTTTGAAACAAACAATTATTTGAACAAAAAGTGAAATGGAAACCTTATACTACATACTGATCTGTAAAAAAAGCATTTTATAATGACCGCTGACCAACGTGTACTTGTATTTATTAAAAACTCATTCCGAGCACTGTCACAGTGCCAAGAGGCTTTATTTTCAGCTGGCAATTGGTTGGGCAGGCCGTCCACCTGGAGGCTGTGGTGCAGTTGAGGCTCGTTAGCGACCTTGCTCAACACAGAATGGCCTAAAATGTAAATTCAGCGTCAATACTGGCGCGGCGCGGTGTTCTTTGCTTAAATCACCCGGAATACATCCAACCTCATCAGACCATGGAAGCTAAGCAGGCGCCTGAAGAGTGCTTGGGTGACCAACACGCATGAACCGGGTGTTACACGCTGCTATGGGGCTACAATATGGGCAGAAGAGGACAAAGCAGCAAAATCCACTGCTATGCCGTACAATGCTCCCACAATTAAGCTTCCCACCTTTATGAACCGGCACTGACCGGCGTGATAAAAGTATGGTCAAATAACCCCAATATTTGCAAGGGGTGGAGGCCCACATGCAGCAGAGGACAGACATGTACATGGTGTGTCCACCGCCTGGCATATTGAGCAGGCGCCGTCACTTCCACGGCTTGACGGTGCCCGCAGAGCTGATCAGTGACCGTGCGCTGATACTGCCGGCCGTCGAGGGGGCCTTGGAGGAGGTGGCGCTGCCCAGGGACCTTGAGGTGGATGCGCGACTGAACTGGCCTGCAAGCACGCACACACGCCACGAAAACGGTCACCCACAGCTTCACCAACACGCCACTTCAACTAGCGCATTTAACTCTGCTAGGTTTTCCAGCGGGCCTAGATTGAGTAACTACAGAAATGGCAGCTATGTAAGAACCCCATTAAATAAAATTTCCCACCATATTAGGCTGAACACCTCTGAAAAAGAGCTCTGTAGCTCATTGGATTCCTCCAGCTAAACTAAAATGTCTAACATTCATAGCCTGTTTGTTGATTTGAGTGTCCTTCCCATGACAACATGTTTTACAAGAGTACTTTGATTTCCCCCCACATTTAAAACACTCCATTTAGAATGTCAAATATTGCAACGCTGCTAAGCTTTGTAAATTAAAGACAATGCTAACATAAAACATGAGTTTTATTTTGCATGGATATTTATTTCCCTTGCAGGGTGACGAGTTATTCTGAACTATTTTGACAGTATTTTTTTTAGTTAACGTAACATGAATGGCTTTAAAATATTTCACAACTATTTTTTTAATACAATTAAAGCATGTCTTAACCACAGTAAAGTTCAATGTGATAGCTAGGTCTTTCGTGACCAGAAATACATTACTGAAGCCAGGTGTATATTTAATTTGTGATGTTGGTCCTGACAAACTGCAATTTGGAATGGAACTGGAGGTGCATTTTTAAATGCAGTTTTGGACAATCCCGAATAGGAATGTAAGACTCATCTCATCTCATGATAAAAGTTTTTGGGTTAGATCGCGTAAATATTAATTTGTCGTAACCCTCCTCCACCCGACACAGCCAGTAAGGTTTGTCACGTAAACAATGCGCCAATTAGTAAACTACTACAGCCCACCGGTGTGTTGGAGAGTAAATCGACAACATTTGCAATTTGAGTACTGCGACATTTCGCTGGTAATTACATCCAGCATCATCGGGCGATTTGCAAGTGTAGTAAAGCAATCCACCTGCTTCCGGTCTTAAATAGAGCAGGATCACGTCATCACCGTGAACCGATCAGGTGCAGAGATCAGAGGAGGTTATTTTGATGCCTCTAGTCAATCCTTGCTTATTGATAGGTCACTCATTCCCCTCTGCTACCCCCATTGTCTAGAACTACCATTGTCCCCCAGCTATCCGTGCTGTCGAGTCCCTACAACTGTTGAAGTAGAGGCTCAGGAGCCTCCATTTATTCTCATTATTTCTGTAAAAATACCGTAAGCCTAACAATTAACGTAAAATACGCAAGAGACTTACTGCTCGTGTCGGACAAGGTGAAGCCGTCATCCAGGTAGTGTCGGATGCGCTCCAGCTCATCGTATCCAAAGCGCTGCTTGTTTCCAGCAGACACTGGGCTGTCCGGCACGACAGGGGTCACCGGGGAAGTGGAGGAATTGGAGGGGCGGGACGGTCTCGCTTTCCGGTTGGGTGGCGCCAGCAGTTGGGGCGGAAGGGAGCCGGTCGTCAGGCCTGTAGGAAACTTCTGGGCTAGCACCTTTAGACCTGTGACAGGGGGAAAAGTGAAAGGGGAAGCAAGGTTCGTTACCTAAGGGAGATGTGTCTGTGACTAAATCCTCCGGAATGCACCCAATTTTGTAATATCTCGGAAGATAAGCATGCCTGAGAGCCTTGGATAGTGCTTGGATGGGCGACCAGCATGCATAAAAGTGTGTAATAGGCTTGCTTTTCGTTGTCAGCAGGGGGCAGTGCAGCAAACGTAACTGTTACGTTAGACCAGATATGGGCAAAGTACGGCCCTAGGGCCGTATACGGCCCGTTGGGCTTTTTAATCCGGCCCGCCGAACTTGTCCAAATATTATTATTATTAAATTAAATTTTACCTTTTCTGTAATGCCCCCATTTCCCCATTAGATGGCGCACTTTGACCGGGAGTTAGGACATGTTTTTGTATTATATTCTTGGTTCTTTCGGTAAAGTCACGTAGAAGGGAAACAACAAAATAATAAAAATATAAAACAATAAAATTCTCACGACGTTTCGACTGCAACACAAGCAATCATCATCAGGTGTGAAAACCACAAGAAGAAAATTTTAAAACCACAACAAGAAAATTTGAAAAATGTTCTTGTTGTGGTTTCAGACCTGATGATGATTGCTTGTGTTGCAGTCGAAACGTCGTGAGAATTTTATTGTTTTCTATTTTTATTATTTTATTGTTTCCCTTCTACGTGACTTTACCGAAAGAACCAAGAATATGAATCCCTGCAGTCACGAAAGCTTTAAATCAAAATATGTTTTTGTATTATTTCTTGTTCGTGCAATTTGTTAAATTGCCTTGCAAAGAAATGCTTTGCTACCTGTTAAAGGCCAAATCCTTTCGTGTAATGATTTTTACATGTCATTTATATTAGTTCACACAAACACTCCATCCATCTGTCAAATTTTAGAACCAATTGTGGCCCGCGAGTCAAAAAATTTGCCCACCCCTGCGTTAGACTAAACTTCAACATCTATGCTCCACCGTTTTACCAAACCCGCACTCACCAACATGCTGAAGCGTGGTCAAATAACCAAGTAAGCCCCATGAGCTGCACACCATATGGAGGCGGTCATCCTACAGTGGCATGGCAAAAGGGCTGCACATGTTTACAAAGCAAGGCTGAGAAGCACAAGGGTTCCACTGCGCAACCCTGCCACAACCCTTCCAATGTGGTATTCATAGGCCATCTAAAACATGACTTGTTTAAGGCAATGTTTAGAGTAAAATTAGTACATATATCCATATTTTACATCTAAACTGAAAAACTACTTATTTAGGACTGCTTTTTGTTCCCTTCCCCGCACCTCCAATTACCGTGATTGGCTAAATACGTTGCTAATTTGTTCAACTTACACAATTGTGAGATAACAAGTATGGCAGTCACGCCACTGTGACATTGCTATAGCATGCTGGTAAGCATAGGGGCATGACCACACAAGAGAATCGTCAAAAAAAATTGGCTGCATGTTTTTGTTTGATATCAGCAACACCTATTAAATGAAAGAAAATAAACCGGTTAGGCGAAACCAATTCTGATTAAACATTCATGTACAAAGCAGTTTAAATCTACACCTAAACTCGTTCGAAATCATAACCTCAAAGCAGCTTTGAGCATTTTTTTTACGTTTGAGTAAAAAATGAATTGTGGCGAAGCCTCACCTCCGGAAAGAACGTAGAGATTTTCAAAACCTCTTTCACACATTGTCGTGGCTGCCACCGTCGCAATCCTCTCATCTTCATCATAAACAATGATGATTTTTCCCGTAACATTTTTCTGAAAAGAAAACGTTTAAGGAAACTGCAAGTTACTACTTGCCTGTTTTTTATTATTATTACTTCGTTTTAACAAACCACACAACACTTAATGGGTCCCCTATATATTTATGGCTATGGTTTCTGATTTGAAGGTGGTGAAATAACTCCCGCAGACAGACATGCATTTAAGGTTAGAGGTGTCTTCTAAAAACACACATTTAACGCTCTATATTAAGTGATATAGTTACATACCTGTCAACCTCTTATCAGTGCCTAACTTGATTTGACACTTTCGTGACTGCAGGAATCAATACTCTTTGGTTCTTTCGGTAAAGTCACGTAGGTATAAAATAAAATAAATCACGTCATTTCAATCGCAGCACAAGCGGTCGTCCTCAGGCGGAAAAAATATAATCCAGCAGTGGAACTGTTGAACCAGCGAGAGAGCAGTTGTAACTGTGTTGCGATCAAAACGTCGCGATTTATTTTATACCTACGTGACTGTACCTAAAGAACCAAAGAGTATAGTGCCTACCTTATTACAAACCAATTCAGACCGTATTGGTCACCCCCGTGCCCTCATGTCAAAGTTCATCCTACAAAAAAGTTTGCCCCTATTGAAACGGCGGTATGCCGAAAGGACCTGAAAACTCAATTTCCCTGTATAAGAATACGAGTAAACCGTATGGGTTGACAGGTATGCAGTAATATATTCGTGATCGATGCAATGATAAACGGTTGTGTTGTTGAGCGCTTAACTGCAAATTTGTAGTCAATAATCACGTGATATTTTAGTTAGGTTATTTAATTATTTTGTTATAAAATGGCGATGAAAGAAAAAAAGGTACACACAAGGCACACATTGTAAATAGATTTTAGGGGCTTTAATGACCACTACGAAAGGTCCCGCTCAATGTGGACGTTGCATAGCAACAAAAGGATACATATTCAAGCATCTCCTTGGTGTATTGATTAAAACTCCGGGACAGCATGGCACTTGGGTAGCTGGCCGCTGAAATGGCAGGAGGCAGAGGGCAAACAATATAAACACACACATACGGCGTTGTGAAAAGCGCGCCTAACAACTTGCTGTATTTTTCATGAGAGCTCAAGCTGTACAGGCAACAGCCACACGTTGCCACGGCTTTCAGTCCATCTGTCATCGCTCAAAGAACCAGTCACATGGCACTGCATATAATTCTGCCACTAGATTTGAGGTTCCATAAAGCCTCATGGTTCATGAAAGTCCTACTTGTCATTTACCTATGCTCAAATTCATTTGCTTTCACACTCCCATTATTATAACATCATTACTTTCCTGTTGTGTTCTATTTTTTTACGTAATTATTTTACAAAATATTTTACAAAGTTCTGTGTATTGTCTTCTTTCACAAATGTAGGTGCATTATCCATTACAATGCTAGTTATAGTGGTGACATCCTGTTTATATTTTTTCTCTTGAGATGTAAATGTTTTTTATAATGAAGCTAAATGCTCCCACTTCACGAATTCGATTTTTTATGTTAACGGTCTGGTTTCATTAATATTTCATGAACTTTATATTCTCTAAAAAATATTTACGTGCAAGTAGGATTGCCCCCGCCTTTTGTCAAATCCTGTGTTAAAATTTATTTTGGCAGTAACATCCTTGACATTATGGGGTTTCCCATGAGAATGATTATCATCATCAAAATACTATGGGAATAGGTTATACCCTTTCTGGCAATAAAGCAGGTGTTAAGGTCTTAAAACACCAAACATGATTCCTTGAAAAAGGTTTCAGTTTGGTGTTTTAACATCTTAACACCTGTTTTACTGCCAGAAAGGGTAAAACCTATTCTTATATTTTGATACTGGCAAGGGAGGTTCCATGATCAAAATACTGGTTTACCCAGGAACATTTTTCAACAGTGTAATTTGGCAACTTTGGAGCATGATGCCATGACACAATAGCCTACACTTGCAAATGACATCACAGGAACTGTCATGTCCACTGTGAGGCAGTTAATACACTCGCAGTATAACCAGGGCGGCCGCTGGGTTGAACCGTGAACTAACAAGGGGCGAATGCATTCCCTCCGCTTGGCCACGTCACTGCCCACACATTTTATTTTAACCTTTTCTGCATTTGGGCTCCTCCATGTACATTGTCCAAATGAGAGCAAAACACTCTATACCACAATAATGGGTGACTTCATTGCACAAGTAGGTAAGTAATTAGATGAGAGGACTGGTAACTTTGGCATTGGACACCAGAACAAAAGAGAATGCCTAACTAGAGTTCACAGCCAGCAGGGGACATCAAGATGAATCCATTTTTCACAGGAGCCTGACAATTGGACAAGAGGAGCCTGGACATTGGACACATAAATCGTATTATAGACAGCAAGCTGCCGCGAATGAGGTACACGAAGCACAACGCTGCTCACCGCCTATGATGTGACACTGCTCGTAGGCATCTCTGTCACGCAGGTCCATCAGCAGGTACGGGCAGTCAGGGTAGGGTTGATCTTCGGAAGCCTCACTGCGCTTCTGCTGTCGAGACGGCGACAGTGGCTGCTGCTTCTCTGCGGAGCCGTTCGTCCCTGTCAGGTCCATCTCCCCGAGCCCACTGATCACACTGTGAATCCCACCACCACACAGGGCCCCATCAGCTTGAGTCGATGACCACTCTGAATTTCTACACTGTTCATTTATGGAGCCGCGTGTCGTATATATATGCATGGGCGCATATCTTTTGTTTGTGCCTGAAGGGCTGTGTTAGTATTTTCTGGAAGCTATACATTCTACTGGGTACCTTTGCAAAGATTTGTACAAAATTGCTACAATATGAATTTAACTCCTGAGGTGCAGTAAAAGGAAGTTGTGATGGATGGCACATATGCAGGATGGAGGAGGGCAGATTTACCGAAATAGATAATACAGTGGCACCCAGTGGACAGTGAGCAAGGGAAAGACCTACAAAGCCAGATGGTGGAAAACTTTAAGAGCAGACTGCCAGGGTCAGATTTCAAATCTGTAACAAATGCAAGGTCTATCAGGAGCTTGGCGATGATGTGAAGGTGTTGTAGCATCAATAGCATTGACCATGGTGACCTCTTGATCCTATTACAAAATCCAACACTACAAATACTAACACTTGGTTCGTAACAAGAGCCTCTATCTACATGGGCTAGTGTGGGCACACCCAGGGGGCGCAGGCAAAAGCTGACCTCTGTAGTGTGGAGCGAGCAGTCGCCACAACCGCGTCGCCTCCGCTCGGCGTGTCGAGGCGGTCTGTCTGAGGGCACGACGGCCCTGAGAACAAGGCCCACAAAAACCAGGCAAAGTCAACCTCCTTCATCACATTCCAGAACCACAAATAGCACTGCAACACGGCGCTAAGTAAGAGACTATACAGCAATGAAGATTCATGTGGAAATTAATTTTAACTACGTTTAATTGGTGCATGTAATTTGAAATGCAACATGAAGGCATGTAACAATGTGCCTATTCGATGAATTGTCACAATTTAGTCTTGAGATTCAACCCGACAATCAATTATTATATTAAACATTGTGAACTTTGCACCTATAGTGGCTGCATTACATTATACAATTAAATACAACATATATACGAGTTTAAAATACATAATTTTTACACGCTCAATTCATTACAAGAATCATGAGTCTAAAAAGTTATTTAAATAAGGAATCGAGGCATGATATTACGCCTATCGACATGTATATTTCACCTTCCATTTGCATGATCTCCTCCAATGTGGGATCTTCAGTAAGCGAAGCAACTTGCAGAACCTGCAGGAATAATCAAGTGGGTAAAATCTCATTGTTTCAAACCCTGATAAGGGAAGGTAAAATGTAAGTAAAGTTATAATTAAAAGCCGATTTTAAAAATATATTCATATAAAAAAAGGAAACATTTACATTTGAGCACAAAAATATATATTACACTGAATTTGAACGAAATAAAATTACACATTTCGTGTGAAATGGCAATATACTTTTGACTCACAATCTGTGCAAATGTTGTGATCTTCATTCTTTTGAAAAGCTCGCCAGGGCGGTAGCGATAATCTGCACGACAAACACTGAATATTTAAATACATCATTATCACAAGGAAAAAACTTGACCGCAAACGTAAAATGAAGGCGTTTGTTATCAATCACATAATACTACCCACCATGCTATCATATTATAAATAAACCCTAAACTTGAAGGAGAAAACTGACAATGTCTAAATGTAAGTTTCGTACAAAAGTAAATATGAACCGTTGAAGGTCTTGGCAGTATCCACATGAATCGCTGACAAGCAAGTTATCTGTGTGTATCCAGGAATTAGAGATACGATTTTTGGGCCAACTCACACCCCCCTTTATACTTGTAAGTGATGACGAGGTTCAACCATGCACAATTTGATTAGTCAGGTAATCCTTCCTTTTTACCCTTGGGAGTCCAATTACCCTTTCATCTTATTGTTCCTGAAATACAGTTCAGATTATTATAAGGGACAACACTCCTGCAGGAATCTATGGGCCCACTTTTCTGTCCTATTTATCTCACGTACAGAAACTCAAGGAGTGCTCCATAGAGTTGTTAGTCTTGTGGATGATGAAAAGTACCACAAAATGTTGTCTCTATGTACAGAGGGAAAAAAAGTATTTGATCCCCTGCTGATTTTGTACGTTTGCCCACTGACAAAGAAATGATCAGTCTATAATTTTAATGGTAGGTTTATTTGAACAGTGAGAGACAGAATAACAACAAAAGTAATCCAGAATAACGCATGTCAAAAATGTTATAAAGTGATTTGCATTTTAATGAGGGAAATAAGTATTTGACCCCTCTGCAAAACATGACTTAGTACTTGGTGGCAAAACCCTTGTTCGCAATCACAGAGGTCAGACTTTTTTTGTGGTTGGCCACCAGGTTTGCATACATCTGAGGGATTTTGTCCCACTCCTCTTTGCAGATCTTCTCCAAGTCATTTAGGTTTCGAGGCTGACGTTTGGCAACTCGAACCTTCAGTTCCCTCCACAGATTTTATGGGATTAAGGTCTGGAGACTGGCTAGGCCACTCCAGGACCTTAATGTGCCACTTCTTGAGCCACTCCTTTGTTGTCTTGGCCGTGTGTTTTGGGTCATTGTCATGTTGGAATACCCATCCACGACCCATTTTCAATGCCCTGGCTGAGGGAAGGAGGTTATCACCCAAGATTTGACGGTACATGGCCCCGTCCATCGTCCCTTTGATGCGGTGAAGTTGTCCTGTTCCCTTAGCAGAAAAACACCCCCAAAGCATAATGTTTCCACCTCCATGTTTGACGGTGGGGATGGTGTTCTTGGGGTCATAGGCAGCATTCCTTCGCCTCCAAACACGGCGAGTTGAGTTGATGCCAAATAGCTCCATTTTGGTCTCATCTGACCACAACACTTTCACCCAGTTTTCCTCTGAATCATTCAAATGTTCATTGGCAAACTTTAGACGGGCATGTATATGTGCTTTCTTGAGCAGGGGGACCTTGCGGGCGCTGCAGGATTTCAGTCCTTCACGGCGTAGTGTGTTACCAATTGTTTTCTTGGTGACTATGGTCCCAGCTGCCTTGAGATCATTGACAAGATCCTCTCATGTAGTTCTGGGCTGATTCCTCACCGTTCTCATGATCATTGCAACTCCACGAGGTGAGATCCTGCATGGAGCCCCAGGCCGAGGGAGATTGACAGTTATTTTGTCTTTCTTCCATTTGCGAATAATCGCACCAACTGTTGTCACCTTCTCACCAAGCTGCTTGACAATGGTCTTGTAGCCCATTCCAGCCTTGTGTAGGTCTACAATCTTGTCCCTGACATCATTGGAGAGCTCTTTGGTCTTGGCCATGGTGGAGAGTTTGGAATCTGATTGATTGCTTGTGGACAGGTGCATTTTATACAGGTAACAAGCTGAGATTAGGATCACTCCCTTTAAGAGTGTGCTCCTAATTTCAGCTCGTTACCTGTATAAAAGACACCTGGGAGCCAGAAATCTTTCTGATTGAGAGGGGGTCAAATACTTATTTCCCTCATTAAAATGCAAATCAATTTATAACATTTTTGACATGCGTTTTTCTGGATTTTGTTGTTATTCTGTCTCTCACTGTTCAAATAAACCTACCATTAAAATTATAGACTGATCATTTCTTTGTCAGTGGGCAAACGTACAAAATCAGCAGGGGATAAAATACTTTTTTTCCCTCACCGTATGTGCTAAACCATACATTTCAGTAATGCTTGGCAGCAACGACATCCATCACTGACAAGTAGCACCCGCCAAAGCCAACACATAGAATAGTGAGTGTAGTACGGAACTCCCTGGACTACTCTATCTTGATAAAATTCCAAATAAGGTGGAGCACACAAGATAGCCTGTAACTCCCCTACCCAAAGATCGTAAGTTATCGGCTGCTGCTATGTGTTTTGACAATTACCAGGTGTGTCTTCAGTGTCAGGTAGCGCAAGTCACAGGTGGCCAACGGCTGAAATGGGTTCTTGGTCAATTGATCTATGATCAGCAGAGGCTTCCATTATGCCACTGTCTTCGCTGTAGTTGAATTACTTGTAGGAAGTGGAATACTTACAAAGTCTTCCCCCAAGTTCACAACTTCGAATCATGTCATGAATGGCACTTGCTGCCAGATGAACACTTAAGACCACTCAGCATCCTTCTCCAAAGCCATATGTATTAACCATAGCAACCACTGACATCTCACAAGACACTGATGATCTTAAGTCCTGTCCACTCCTGGAGAGTCCTTAGCCTGCAACTGCGTAGCAGTCCCACCAGATCCTGCACATTGTGGTTGCCAGGTTGGTCATCTTAGTCCTCTTTGAAGGCAGGTACTATTTCCGGCTGGCGAGACCTATAACATCACATTACCACGTGTAGTAACCTAAAGGAGTGGATTTGGCAGCTGGTGAGGAAGGAAAGGCCAGCTAGCAGGACTGCCGGGACTGCTGTTGGTGTAGTTGGTACAGGAATCACCCAACACGTAATAAACACAATAAATTACAATACATAACAAACACAACATCATATGGGAAAAATTATGCATATCTGTGGATTCTGTAACTCTGAAACCCACGTTTGTAGGCAGTATTTAATCAGCAATAATAATCTGTACACTGTGGTGTATGACTTACTGGTCCTCATATCTTCCAATCTCTCCATATACTTGGTGAGGCTGCTTCCTGAAATTAATACAAATAAAACAAAGCGAATAAGCATGATTGTGTTTACAAAACATTCTTGTACATGATGTAACTGTTCACCACTAACCAAAACATTAGAAGTCGGATATACTTATGGATGGTTTTAATGTCCCAAATAATTTACACTCAAACATATCGTATATTGTATAATGGCAATGACATGAAATCAAATTGCGTCCATTTTAGGTGTTGGGCAATGTACCTTTCCATTCGATATTTGGTGGAGGTTTGCTGATGTATAAAGAAGAATATAGCTCATCGCTAAGTGCTGCATTTAATCTGATTTGTCAAAAAGTTACTTATATTTGTACCATATTAAAACTCTTTTCACTCACCTCTCTCATTTTGCCCTCATATACTTTTTTCCCTGCCTTCCAGTAACCATGGCCTCATAATAACACAGTCAAGCTTTGCTTGAGGGGGGGGGGGGAGTGAGATTGCATCTTCCCCTTCTATGTCTGTAATTCACTACACTATATTCTCCACAATGCTGAATGTTGCTGTTCTGTTTCAAGACCTTTCTCAAAGCCTACCTTTTCTACACTGCCAGATATTACAATAATAAAAAAAAACTACAAACTAACATTTTTATTTTATTTTACAAGATAAGGCCCACTGAGCTATATAGCTCTTTTTTAGAAGCGACCTGGCCACAAATGATAGCTCAACGAAGTGGCTTATCACATGGAAATATATAGCAGCCAAATTTTCTAAATGCATGTCGATTCTAAATGTGGAGGGGAAAAACAGGACTCGGACAAAAATCTCTGCGACTACAGGGACAGAGACATGCAAACTCCAAATATACATGCGTCAGCGTCGGGATCGAATCCATGACCTCTTGTATACCAGGCGAGAGAGTTAACATCTCGCCACTGTGGTTCCCAGAAGACTGACAATTATGTCAGACAATCATAGTCAGTCTTCCGTAGAATCTGTGCACGCTTACTTAAATGCAGTACATGTACATGCACGGCCCTTGTGTCTATCCGCTGCTGGATGAGGGCCTCCCCGCGAGGAGATGAAATGCACGCGATTTCTTTAGATCTTGTAAGATAAGCAGGCTTGAGGCTGGATGGTGCTTGGTTGGGTGACCACCGGGCAGGAGAGCAGTGCAGCAACATTCACTGTGTTCTGCACTCCCTCCCACCATCAACCCGTATTGACCAGCGTGGCGAAGTATGAGTCAAATAGCCTTCATGGTGTGCAAGGTGTAGTAAGGGAAGCCTCTCATTCAACAGTGGATTGACAAGAGGTTATACACAGACGTAATTTTCTACGCATTACGAGCCCCAGATATGAAAATTGAGTGCAGATTCATAACGTACAGAAATAAGGTAGATGCTTTATAAGGTAAATCATTACCGTATTTTTTAAAGAAACGGTTGGGCGTGCGCGAGGTGTGTGTGACCAGATTTGTGTAATTTGTATAACACCGGGCACACATTTCAGGTGCACCTTACTCTGAAGAGTCTTATAAATTTCGGAGTATACGGTACTGTACTGCATTATTATTGATCGTAGCATAGTGTAGCTGTGCCCAGTACACACGTGCACACTCCTCCACGCACACTCCACTAACGGATCCTCGAGGCAGTTAAGTGTCAAGCACCACTGTGCATTTAATGAACTCGGTCATCTGTTAAAACAAAAATACAACTCACTACTCTCGACATGATTCCTAGCTGCTGAATAGGGTAGCTGGGCATACATAAAGATGTATAATCGGTTAATGCTTGAGGCAATGGACCTTAAGAGATGAGAGCAAAGGGGCAGTGAAGACTCACATTTGGGTATCACACAATATCGTGATTACTTTGGTTGTGCATATACAGTATGTCAATACACAATATGCCAATGAGCATTTTACCATTAATATTAAAATGTAAGAGCACACTTTGTCAGAACGTTTGTATCGCAGCAGTAGAACACAACACCTAAAACACACTGTGCAACGATATCACTGCAGTGTGGTTGAACGTGAAACCGCTTGGAACGATGATTGAGGGATATTTGGCAAAAAAACCCACATTGCGGCTCATTTGTGCAAACCATACGCTTCGGAAATTAAGTGAATTAAGCACATCATTACATTATTGTACAAGTACATTTACAGTATTGAGTTAATTGCAAGGCAGTCTGTGAAGAGATAACACAAAATCAATTGTTTCCAATTAAGCCTGTGTTCTCTAAACGATTACCGTATTCTCCAGATTGTAAGACGCTTCCCATACCTGTCAACCCCTTATCAGTGCTCTACCTTATTACAGACCAATTCAGACCTTATTGGTCACCCCGTGCCCTTATAAATCTCAACGTTTATCCTACAAAGTCACATCACAAGGGAGAAACACAAATTTTTTTAATGCCCGTATTGAAGAGACTGGACGCCTTATGGACCTGAAAACTCAATTTACCTGTACAAAGACTACGGAGTAAACCGTGTGGGTTGACAGGTTTGCGCTTCTAAAAGAAAACACCTCAAATGTTGCGTCCCGTGTCAATACGTTTTACAAACATTGCCACAACAACAACCGCCATTCGCCACCAAGTAGCGGTGGCGTCACCTCGGCTCTTGTGCCAGGCTAGGTGCACCTTTAAGGCCACAACGTGAAGTGTGGAAGGCTCTCACACACCCAGGTGTTAGTTATTATTACTTGCAAGAGATATATGACTGGCACACATACACACCTAACGGTTTATAAGACTCGTCCACGGACTTTTGTTTTAAAATATAAGGGCTATAAGTTCGTCTTATAACCCAGACAGAATACCGTACGCATATCAAAGAGAGCATCGATTCGTGTAACATGCAACAATTATCACTTGCGCAATTAAGTCTTGAGGGAGAAATAATTCTATTTAAAAAAAAAGGTGTAACTGTCACGTGTTTAAATTGATCCGGCGAGGGTTTCTACAAACGCAAACTCTTATCAATTGCATAGATACGATTTTTTTTCACGACCACCAATTATTAAAAATATAACTTGAGGCGAATTTGACCACGCAATAAACCACAGGAGTGTGCGCTCATTCAACGGACGAGCACTCGAAATCTACACCAACACTCCCATAGCCCTCTCTCGCCATGGCTAAGAAGGCATCGCACATTAACATTTTAGCCCGTGAACATAGTTCTGCCATGCGTAAGGAGGGGAGGGGGGTAAGAATAACGAGTTAAACGCGGGTTTATCGAGTTCTTATTCCCTCTTACCCGTGTCCAGCTTAGACTTGACATTCTTATACTTGGGGTTCTGCGGCACTCTCTTGTTGAGGATCTGAAACGACAGGAGATTTGTCCATAATTTTTTTTAGTAATTTTAACTCTTGCACGTGAAAGGAAGGGAAGAATAAAAAGAGAAAACCAAACAACTCAACTCACGTTCGGATTGCCGAGCGCCCGCATTGAGCCGACACGCGACATCGCTCCCCGTGCGGACCCTGAACGGGCTTCAAAAACCACAGCGCGGATAAGCCCAGCCCAACCGATCCTCGTACGCCATTGGCCACAACTCGACTCCGCCCTCGAACGGAGCGCGCGCGCCATTGGCCAACATCGAAGCGCCTTCGGTGGTGCAGCCAATCGCGCGCGCTCGCACTGACGCTCCCGTGCCTATGCGCACTACGTTGTCGAGAACGAACGGGCCGAACCGCTCGTTGCTAAGGCACCGCGCACCTACCAGTAAGAGCGCCGCTGATTGGTTGTGTCTTGCGGGGCATGCCGATTGGGGGCGTGACCCCGCTTCCGCATAGCAACGGCACGGCGCCAAGAGGCCCGCCAGTGCTGCCCCCACCCTCTGGCCCACGGCCTGTGCTGCCCCCCCTACAAGTGCTGCCCCCCCACCAGTACTACCCCCTCCCCCCCACCAGCGTTGCCCCCCCCACTAGTACTGCCCCCTCCCCCCCACCAGCGTTGCCCCCCCCACCAGTACTGCCCCCTCCCCCCCCACCAGCGTTGCCCCCCCCCACCAGTACTACCACCCTCCCCCCCACCAGCGTTGCCGCTCGTTATTGTATTGGCTGAACACATCTGTAGTAAATTTTGATTTAAAGCTTTCGTGACTGCAGGGATTCATATTCTTGGTTCTTTCGGTAAAGTCACCACGTAGAAGGGAAACAAAACAATAAAAATATAAAACAATAAAATTCTCACGACGTTTCACTGCAACACAAGCAATCATCAGGTGTGATGATGATTGCTTGTGTTGCAGTCGAAACGTTATTGTTTTATATTTTTATTATTTTATTGTTTCCCTTCTACGTGACTTTACCGAAAGAACTAAGGATATACATCTGTAGTAGGTTAGGATCCTCTTGAAAATAAAACAAAATAGTCCGACGACTCACAGTGTGGCTTCCAGGATTAGATAGCTTTATAATAATACATAGCTGTGAACCCATAAGGTTGTACAAAGAAATATGAGTTTTCAGGTCCACACACGGGCCGCAACAAACATGAGTTGTTTCAATCTAGATTTGAAGTTTTCGTGACTGCAGGGATCATACTCTTTGGTTCTTTCGGTAAAGTCACGTAGGTATAAAATAAAATCAATTAAATCACGACGTTTCGATTGCAACACAAGCAATCGTCATCATCAGGTGGGAAACCCACAGCAATAAAATGTTTTGCTGAAGTGTTTTTTTCCCACCTGATGATGATTGCTTGTGTTGCAATCGAAACGTCGTGATTTAATTGATTTTATACCTACGTGATTTTACCGAAAGAATCGAAGAGTATGCGTTGTTTCTCCCTTGCGGGGACGGGAAGAATGTTGTATAAGCGACACGGGGGTGACCAGTTTTAGTTTAGTTTATTTATTTTGGTATAGCCCTGTGAGCCATTCGGCTCTTGAATCGGGTGCAACAACAAACAAAAAATCAAAAACACGAACAAGAAAACATCTTAAAGTGACTATGTGACTGTGCAAACAGAAAATCCATGAAAAAACCCAGCAAAATATTCCTGAAAAAAGGCACCAGACACCAACGCTGTGTGCAAAAAAAATCCCAGTGGGATGCAAGTCAAACAACAACCACAAGACAACTTAGATTAAGGCCATCAGTCTAACTCCGTACTACAACAAAACAAACATGTCCAAATCAAAAAACTTTTCGAAATCACCAAAATATAAAGCCATAATTGCAACGTAACAGTGATCATAGGGACTGTGACCATAGGGACCAATACGAGTTTGTACTTGGTCTGTAATAGGTAGGTAGAGGCGCACTGAATAGACTGCCGGATGAAGCTAATGCGGGGCCTGTAGCATATGTTATAAAGGGGCCCTAAAAAACATACATGTTAAAACACATACATGTTGAACTTGCACAGTAAAGTAATTGTATTTTTTCATTTGCTATACAGCCAGATAATACGACAAATCGATAAACTTAAACAACCAGTCGTTCATAAAAGTTGAAGGCGGTATAGTACTATAGTAATAGAGCAAGTGCAGAATGACTGAACCGGAGTTGATAGCTTGAAAGCATTTAGCGCGGGGCCCTTGAAAGTGCGGGGCCCGTAGTAGTATGTAGTAGCTACTACATGAGTACTAGTAGCTACATGTGTAGTAAGTAGTAACTACATGTGTAGTAACTACTAGTAGTACTAGTAGTAGCTACTACATGTGTAGCTACACGTGTAGTAGCTACACGTGTAGTAGCTACTGCATGTGTAGCTACTACACGTGTAGCTACTACACGTGTAGTAACTACTAGTAGTACTAGTAGTAGCTACTACATGTGTAGCTACACGTGTAGTAGCTACTGCATGTGTAGCTACTACACGTGTACCTACTACATGTGTAGTAACTACTAGTAGTAGTACTAGTAGTAGCTACTACGTGTGTACTACGTGTGTAGTAGCTACTACTAGTAGCTACTACTTTTGCTACGAGGATCACCGGGCACACTAACCCGCGGCGCGCGCGAGGTATAAATAGCGCGTCACGCGGCACAGCGTCACGCATCGGAAGTGGGAACGAGAGGCAGCGGCAGTCGCAGCAGTCGCAGGCGGGACAACAACAACAACGAGGACGAGGAGGACTGCGGCGGTGGCCGCTGCGTTTAGCGCGCCCGTACCAATCCACACTTAGCTCTCTCCCGCCCTGAACAGCAATCACTCTTTTCGGTTTTGTTTGTTTGTTTAAATAGCGGCCGCGTACGTTCGCACGGCGAGTCCCTACGCCATATCGCTACGTGTGTACATTCGCCACCCCCATCCCCTTCCCCTCACCGCCCCCCCCCTCCCCTCCAAAAGAACTCTTAAAGAATCGCTGCCGCACGCGTCCGTGAAGAGAAGTGAGGAGGTGGTGAGGACGGCCCCTGCGCTTGATGTCTGCTGCGGCTGTGCGCGGCCATGCGTCTGTGAGTCCACGCCTCCTAATGTCGCGCAAACTTCTACATCGATAGGACCTGGGTTACCCCCTCCCCCCAACCTCCCTGTGTTCACGCGGTGCTTGTTATAATTATTGCACGTAACGCGTGAGGGTACGGAGTTTTTTTTGTTTGTTAACCACCCACCCCAACAACCATCACCTCGGGGCGTGTGTGGCCTGCTTGTTACTCTCCTATCGCTACTGCTCGACAGCGTTTGTCGTGTAGAGAACCTCGACTCGTTTGATTGCTCCACCGAGCGTCGAAGGGATTCTCCATCGGACCGACTCGTCTCGTCCGCATGGTGATCAAACGACGCCTCTCGATGCAGGCGTCAACGGGCAACAAACTTCACCCGACTCGCTCAACGCAATCGCCTCTGGCCCATTCACCAACACTGCGTAGTGTCACAAACGCTGCTGCTGCTGCTCTGTCGTCTCTTGTCTCTCTCGCTTTCGTCTTCCCTCGTGCTGCTCCACCTTGTTGCCAACGCAAGGGGGCTCCCAGCGGCCGCGACACGTTCACCACCTCGCTTCGTCGGCGAAGAGGTCGTTCGTGGGTGCGTGTCAGACCCTGTCGCCTTTTGTAATTGTTTGGAGTTTGTAATTGTTTGAAGTTTGCGCGTCTGTCTCTCTCCCAGGTGGCCGCGTGGATTTTACTCTGGAGGTTCCCCCCCCCCTCCGCATTTAGAGACGTGCGTTTTAGAGTATTTGGCTGCATTAATTTCCACGTGGTGATGAGCCACTTTCGTTGAGCTATCGTTTGTGATGTCAAGGTCGCTTCTGAAAAAGAGCCATTAACGCTCGGAGAGCCTTACCTGGTAAAATAAAAGAAAATGTTTTATAGTTTGCAATCTCCCCTCCCCCTCTCGCAACAGTGGCTGTTCACAAATTCTTACAACAACCTAACTCGGAGTCTAGAAACGCATGAACTCGTCTTCTTACCACGTAAATAGTGCTGTTTGTTGCTGGTAGCTTTGGCGTTTGGGGGCCTGTGCCTTCGCAACCATTACTTTAAAAAAAAAGTCTCGGCGTTACACGCGGTCTGGTGAATGCAGAGAGTTGCTGCTAGGTGCGTATACCATGGTCTCTGCGTGGATGTTTGTGTTTAACCTTCAACAAGCCCAGTGCCTTGACCCTACGTACCAGCGGGCATTCTTCGTGACTTCACGTGGGCTCAAAGTGCACCTTTAGCCTGACTAAAAAGCAACGTTGTGAAGTCGCCGTGTTCAATTCCACTCTTCCCCCCCTGTTGATGTTTTTTTCCAGCAATAAAGCTCACGAAAACTGCAGTTAAAGTTAACCTTTTTTAAAACCACCATTGCTAATTCGTAGAGTGATAGAAACCCCCCATCTAGATAGATGACCGTGTCTAGGAAACTAAAAAGTAGATTTTTTAAAACCCTGATTGTGCTTGAATGGGCGACAACATAATGCCCTAACAAGTGTTGTAGGTTACGGAGCAGCTCGGGGCAATGCAAACAAAAATCGTTATACTCTACGTATATGTTTCAGCGCCAATGCTACGCGTATTCACCAACCGGCACTGACCAGCGTGGTGAAGTATGGTCAAATAAACTCTATCTGGCTCAGCATAACTTATCCAACTGGAATGACGAAGAGCGAATATAATTTATCTTCAGATTGACTAAACATGGGGTCTCGGTCAAAGGCACCTTAGAACAATGATGTAACTTCTAGGATTGTTTAAATCTTGTTTTTCATAGAAAAAAACAGGTTAAAAACCAGTTGCTGGTTTGCCACACTCATTGAAATGTCAAATCACGAATCGAATGGAGTTGCCCTGGTGTAATGGGGAGCACACCGGACTGGCAATCCAGAAGTTGCCGGTCTGGTTCGACCTCCTGGCACGGTTCACTACCAAGATGACTCAAGTTATAAGCCATAAAATATACAGACTGTCGATGTACAGTCCTTTTGTTAATCTGTTTTTTTCTGGACGAGGGCTTCGCCAGGATGTGCAGGTCGTGGGAGTTAATTGACCATACTTCACAACGGTAGATGCACGCTTGTGAAAGAGGAGAGCAAAGCTGTGGTAGCATAGAAGTACAATACAATAATGGGTTTCGTTACACTAACTTGAACTCACAATGTAGGCATACAACAGCCTAGAACACCTATTTTATAATTAAAAAAACTTCCATACTTTGATGCTGGCAAAAAGGTCCCGTTTTGTAGCTGCTCACCCGAGCTTTAAAATGCTCTGATAGTGCATTGTCTTTTGGCGTTCTCTGGTCTGACACTGGTGAGACGAGGCCCTAAAGAAGGCTGTCTCTGGTGTAGGCCAATCAGTTTCAAAGACAATGCATATATTATTAGAGCATGTTTGTTGGCATGTTCACCACAAGTACCGTGTGTGGTTAATGCTGACTTGATTCCGTGCAAAAGGTTTATATTTGGTGTTTGAACATTTTATAATAATAGGGGTTTTCCCCTTTTTTCTGGCAACAAAACTGAAACCTTTTTACAAGGATTCATGTCTGCATTAACCACAATACCTGCAGTCAAAATGCAAACAAACAAAAAACATACTATGATAATATATGCATTGTCCTTGAAACTGATTGGTCCACACCAAGGGACGGCTTTCTTTTGAGCCTCGACCCAATTGGTGCTCGACCACATGACGCCAGAAGGCGTACAGCTCAAAGACAATGCACTATCAAAGTAATGAGGGCTCGGTGAGCATCTACATCATTAGACCTCCTTTGCCAGTACCAAAATATAATAATAGGGTTTTCCCCTTTTTTCTGGCAATAAAACTGAAACCCTTTTTCAAGGATTCATGTCTGCATTAACCACAATACCTGCAGTCAAAATGCAAACAAAAAACATGCTATGATAATATATGCATTGTCCTTGAAACTGATTGGTCCACACCAAGGGACGTCTTTCTTTTGAGCCTCGACCCAATTGTTTGCATTTTGACTGCAGGTATTGTGGTTTTGACTGCAGGTATTGTGGTTAATGCAGACATGAATCCTTGTAAAAAGGTTTCAGTTTTGTTGCCAGAAAAAATGGTAAAAACCCTATTACATTTTGGTACTGGCAAAGGAGGTCTAATGATGTTTGAACATCTTCTTAACACCTCCTGTTTTATTGCCCAAAGGGGTAAAACCTATTCTTATTTTTTCATATTTCATACTTTTGTTGCCCATCCAAGCAATAACCAGGCTGATGAGATCGGGCACATTTCTGGTGATTTGGTCAAAGGGACCAGCACCATTTATACCCATTTAGCGATTGAGTTCTGCCGCTCCTAGATCCGTCTGTGTCCCACACTTCTCACGAGTCTCATGTGTGCCAGGCTGGGCGAATGGTGGCTGCATGTGTGCTTGCTGGCTGTGCCACTCATCGCTATCTACCTGAACATCCCAGCGCCGCCGCTCACACCACCGCTCCTGCAGTGGCGTGCTGGCGGGCACGTGTATCACCACGGCACACAGCGCATCTTCTACAGAGGTGAGCCCTCGTGCTGCTCACAATTACTACCTCTTCATCCTCTATATAATCCAGCCACGCCAGGGCCACCTCGCTGAACCAGCCCAGTGTGACTCGGGAGACGCCGGATTGTTTTTTTGTTACAGAGGTGCGAGCCATGCTGGCTACGTCGCATGCGATTTAATGTATTGAGACGCGTATAGATAACACAGTGACTCTGTTTGAGTTACTGGCATCAAATGTAGCGAATGCATAATCAACTCCACCCCTGTTCCTGTTTTGCCCCAAGCCAGATGCAGATGGTGTGTGAATCACGTGCAGATAGAGCGATTTTTAAGTTGCTGCCTATTTTTCATAATTTGTTTCATTTGTTGCTGCGGCCTGCGCAGATGACCAGGGTGTCTTGGGAGTGGATGACATAGTGATTCTTCTGCACGGATTTCCCACCTCGAGCTACGACTGGAGGAAGGTGCTTATGCATCAACGCATATTCCGTGAATCTACATAATAAGCAGATATTCTGAACTTGTGTGTTTTTGTCCAGAGAACTCCTCTCATATCACATCACCGATTTAATTGTCTTTTGAAAAACTATGTAAAAGGAGTAAAATGTATTATTTAAAGTATTTGCTCTTGACCCAATGGTTATGCTAATTTTACTTACTGGTTCAAGTTCTGCTTATCTGCTCGACCATTTTTAATATACTTTTTCATCACAAGAACCACATTTTAAAATCGGTGGATATGTGTGTGCCCGGTTAAAACTCACAGTAGCTTCCCATTAGTTCTCTATATGGGTTTATGGCAAGCTGCATTTGATGTAGTGCCCAATGAGAGAGAATTTGGCACTGTCATGAATAGTGTTGTTTGGTAATGCAGAAAAGCCTCACGACTGAGTGTTAATACTTTCTAAAGAGGGTCCTGCAATGGGAAATGTGTCCATTATTTTAAAGAGTGCATATGGGAGGAAACTGAAATACCTGAAGAGAGTCATCTACACAAGGCAATAATACTCAAAAGATCTACATACGTAGGTTCATGAGCCCATTTTGTGTACGGAGTTCTTCTAGTGAGGGAGTTTCACAAAAGCATGAACCGCCACACCCTACATAACTTTTACATTTATTTTGATCTTTTCCCCCAATTTTATCTCGATCATGCTATCGGCATAATGGCACGATGAGGTTTCCATTATGGGACCTTTCTTGCCAGTTTCTAAATATAAAAATAGGTTTTACCCTTTCTGTCAATGAAACAGTTGTGTTAAGATGTTAAAACACCAAACCGCTTCCTTTCTTTATGTAATTTAATTTTTATTTTTCTTATTTCTACGTGACTTTACCGAAAAAAAACAAAGATTAATTCTTGCAGTCACGAAAGTATCAAATCTAGTTCACTTCCTTTCTGTCTCTAGTGTGGACCAATCAGTTTCAAAGACAATGCGTATATTATCAGAGCATGTTTCTTGTTTGCATGTTCACCACAAGTACGCGTGGTTAATGCAGACAGGATTCCCTGAAAAAATAATTCTGTTTGGCGTTTTAACATCTTAACACCTGTTTTATTGCCAGAAAGGGTAAAACCTATTTTTATGCGAAGTATCAATTCGGGTCTCTCGCAGAACAGTGCCACCCTTCGTGTTAGGGAACAGCTCGCAGAAGTGGCTATCACAGAGCTACTTCTGATATTGCTTTAAGTAACCTCTGTTCCACAAGCTCGGGAGCAGAATATTCTACCTGCTCTGCGGGTGGATATAACAGTCAAACCAATATTTTAATTTCTCAGAACTGAGATTTAGCCAAATTAAGTTCAGAACGAAATTTAATGCGATGCTTTCTTGTGCACCTGATGGTACTAAATGGTGTTCTATCAGTCATGATAATGAAATATAAACTTTAGCACATCCAGTCGTCGTGGAATATTCATGCACGTCATATACGAGTCTTCTAAATTAACTTTGCACCTGTACATGTTGACGCACACCAACATCCTGCAATTGACTGCGAACGTGGACAGCAGAGGACAATGCAGCACAAAATAAATTGTTGCATTGTGTATATATGCTCCCTCTTCTATACTCTCGACCTTTATCAACCCGTACTGCTGCTCAGCTTGGTCAAATAACCCCCCACTTCCCACACAGTGTAGGAAGCCCATAGTCCATCAGTAGATTGACAAAAGGATTTACATGTACACCGTGTTTTTTGCGTTGGTAAAATTGGTCACCGGGGTTGTGTGTAGGAAAGACCACACGGACGTTAAGGGAAAGCGGTCCATTGACCAATTTTCGGTACCTTGTGTCTCCCCACACCTTGGTCAGATATGGGAACCGCTGACGCAGCGATTCAGCCGCGTGATTGCTCTGGACTTCCTGGGATTTGGTTTCAGCGACAAGCCGGTATTTCGCATAATTACCTGCTATGAACACATGGATCACAAACATGGACATTGATAGAGCATTAATCATCTTAATCGACGAAATCGTTCAAATTTTTTAGATAAAGCCTGTAAGCCTGCGAAGCTGTAGGGTCCTCACGACCACAGCCACGAGTGTGACGTGAGCCTACCCTAATTCCCGCGCTCTCCCCGTGACGCGTCTCTCTCGCGCCGCGCTCTTACCCTTGCAGCGCCCGCACGCTTACACGCTGGAAGAGCAGGCCGACATTGTGCAGGGCCTCGCGGTGAGGCTGGGTCTCGCCAACCGCCGCCTGCACGTCCTGGCGCATGACTACGGTGTCACCGTGGCACAGGAGCTGCTGGCGAGGTGCTGACCGAAACGCACGCGTTAAGATTATTTCGATTCTTTGGCCGTTATAAATGTCCTCGCGATAAGCCATTTTGTTGAACTGTCATTTGTGGCCAGGTCGCTTCTGAAAACGATGCTAATAGCTCGGTGGATTTTACCTGGTAAAATAAAAAAAAGATTGAGTGATTAGCTTACCTTTCCCATACTTTGCACTCGTATTGTGTTTTTTGTATTGTTTGTTGTAACTTTCTGAACCACCCCTACTGGACATCTGTGAAAAATAGCTGTATTGCTCATAGGATTCCTCTAGTATGAATAAATATTCTGATTCTGACTCGTTGACAATTCTCTGCCCTTCGCTGGCATTCCGTTGCTCTTCGTAGGCATGCAATGTCCCCGTGCTGACCACTACTTTCCTTTTACTGGTTGCAACGTTTTCTCACTGGCTGCACCGTCCCCCTTGCGTGCAGCCACAATCGAATTCTTAATAAACATGACCTCTGACCACCTGCAATCCTCCCCTCTCAAGCCCACAACCTCCCCTTTCTGGCTATAACCTCTCACCAGCTGCAACTCCCCTTGCATGCACCTCCAACTTTTCCCTCCTGCCACAACGTCGGCTCAATGAATATAACATTTCCTCACCATTTGCAAGCCTTCCTTTACAAATACAACTTTCCTTGGCTTACCGAAACCTCCGCTGTTTGGCCACCACATCCCTTCGCTGCCCGACGAGTATACGTTTTACTATTTGGTCACCGGTGAGCAGTAAACCCTCGCTTTAGCTCCCTCTGGATCATTTACCCCAAGCTTGTTTCATGTCATTTACTCTCAGGGTTGTGCACAGTGTCTGTTACATTCACACAAAAACACTTTTCTCTGTGACTGCCATTGTGGCTTTGGGGTATTAATATCAATTGTAATTTTTATTTGTCCAAGAAAGCCTTGCTGAGTCTCAATACTTATTAGGAGCATTCTGCATATTAGCCAGTTCTATTTTAATCAATGCTTTTATCCTCATCAGCATTATTTATTGTTTATTTAGTGTTTCACACCTGCACGCCAGTCTCCGTATTGTACCTAAAATATTAAATGTCCAAACGTCCCGATACAAAATCATCATGAGAACTGTCTAAACACTCCCAACAGGCTTTCTTGGGGAAATTAAAGGCAATTTAGAAGTAACTTGTAACACGTAGATGGTATGCATCATGAAGTCTAAACAATGGTCACAAATTATCCTGCCTCTGTCCACAGAGCAGTATAGATGAGTACACCACAGTTAGTCAATTGGCAGGTCGCTTGTGGTTACTTTTACCTCTTGGAAGAGGTCTTGCAGTGTAGGAGAGTAGGCAAAGTCCACTAGAGTCTCTGGGGCACTCTCTAGTGGGGGCCCATCTGCCAGCAGTGGTGTTGGCAAATGCAAGGGTGCACCTTTAACTTTTTTTATAATGACTTGTATGAGATAACATGTGAGTTTAATTATAGTCTATCATTTTAAATAAGGCATGAAGATGGAACTCCTGGACACCTACTGTTCAAAAGTGTCTGCTTTTCTAACGGAGGTAAGAGAGCACACATTTTTACCATTGCTTTTATCTGAAATTGAAAAGCAGCATTCCAAAGTGCCTGAAGTACCATGTTTTCAATCCTCTTATATTGCTAACAATTACACAATACGGTAACATGGACACTCGCAAATAAAATAGCATTTTGAGTACACAAATAAGCAGGGAGAGATGCATGCTTGTCACTGGCCTGAATGTGAAATTTCTGCTGGCTCTGAACAGCCCCATGCTTATTTGAACACAAGGTCACATTGACTGACCTTGGTTCTGACTTTGACCTGAAGCATGGGGGGGCGATGCATTCTTGGAATTACACTGAAACACCGAGAGAGGATCACGTGGAGCAAGGAACAGACGTAAATTAGAGACCTCTTATTGATTGTAGGGAAAGGAAACTGTGTTTCAGCCGGACACATCACCAGCAGGAATGATAGCTGGGAGTCGAGACTAACGTTGGCGTAGCAGGTAAAGAGGCACTGCGGCCGAGGAGATAGAGTGATGAGGACACCTTATGTCCAGCGTAGGTGCATCGCAAGAGCGTGAGAGATGGGGACAGCTTGAGTGGTGGCTAGACCATGGTTGATGATGGTGATCAATTTTAATGTCACTGGACTTATTGAAAAAGAGCTCCATAGCCTCATCGGATTCCTCCAGGATAAATAAAGATTCAGATTCTGAATTGCTTCACATGATTGCTGAAGCCACTAGAGGTGCTACATTCGCCACAGTGGTAACTTGTGGAACCTCAAATGGAATAACTACCCCAGATGTGACTTGCTAGCTGATTTGTTCACTATGTGTCAGTGTACAGAAAGGTACAGCAGTAACCCTGCAGTGTTGTCAAGAGAGCATTACAGTGGAGTGCCTGAAAGTCACTTGGAAGTCGTTGTCTCATTAACACCGCTTCAGTCTCGTGTCGAACATCCCACGACACACAGCCTCGGTGCGTATTGGTGTACGTACGGGAAAAGATAATTTGGTTGTTTGAGTTGTCTTCCCCTTATACCTCAAAACATTCGTCAATAACGTATCGTAGATGTTTTGAGCATCGCCAATAAATCCGCTTAACCTGTGTCAATTTAATGCTTTCTGTTACATTTGCAACCTTTTTTTTGTACAGTATTTATATCGCTCCGATCTTTGCACATGTGCGTGATATTTTGAAAAGTCAATAAGCTAACTTCCAGATGATCCGATATAAACAATAAGAATAAACACTAAAGTAATACCAACGTTATCGGCTTCTTAAATTCGTAAAATACAATCTCTATTTTCATTATAGTGCCTAAATTGTATTATATAGTGCCTAAAATGTGACCGTATCTCAATATCAACCAAGTTATTTGTTGATGTACCTGCATTGATCAGTGGTGCATGCACAAGCACAAATAACAAAATACTCAACAGTGTTCCCCCTTTTTTTCCCTTTTGTTCACATCACAGGCCTATTTCCGGAAACAAATCACCCCCGGCTATCGCAGGAGGTATGTCGCACATGCTCGCCGCCGAGTTTCGCGAGAGTCGTAACACGAATACTGGCACGCCATGCACAAGCCTATTGGAGTGAGCTAAGCTGCTAGATGGTTCTACAACAACGACAAAGTAACATTTTTTTTAATTCGCCCCAAAAACGTTAAATATGGCCCAGAGTGCAGAACTACTTTTGAGGAACAGGAGGAAACAGGAGGGACCGAGCAAGGGAATAAGAGAAGGGAAAAGCAGTTCAGGGGGTCTCCGAAAGCAGATTGACATTTACAATACATTTGTGTGTGTTTTTCTTTCTTCATCCTATGGAAGATCTTGATTCTGATTGATATAAGATAAACACTCTCTATGGAACGTATAAAATAAAGAAGCCTATTGCAGAAACTTGAAACGAAGCTCTGGGACATCATATTCCAGGCTTTGTTCCCCAAGCACAGGGTGGTGCACTGCTTGCCGCAGTCACCGAGAAATGAAGATGTTTAGTTTGACGAGCTACAAATTGTCTATCCATCGCATAAGAGATGCGTTGTCGATTACGGATATGAGAGAACTGAAGACGGGACTCCAGTAAAGTGACGTTCCCTTCCAGGGTCTGTCCCATCATATGGCGCAACGCATGACTCGCTGAGAAAATTTGCCGATGGGAATGCCATGACACAATTGCAGTAGGGTGCTCTGAATACACCGTGTCCTGGAAATACCGGGCGAATTCAGGGGTGTGTGATGCCCTGGTATGTTCCTTTTGTCAATAAAACCCGTTACTTCAAATTTAGCCAAATATAGCCCATTTCCAGCACCTAGTGATAATTTTTGAGTACTCAAACATTCATGTTGTCTTTAAAACGGGAATATCGTTAAACATTAAGATACAACGAAACTTACAAATTAAAATAATCTAACATAAAAAAACTTGATCCTGAGGATGTGGTGGAGCAGTACTCTCCAGTAGTTTCTGAACTGTAGTACGACAGGAGTAAACTGAGAATGTAGCACATGCCATTTATGCATCGCGAGGAAACAAAGCCAGGAAACAAGACAATAAAGCTTGACATGCTCTCAATGTTTAAACGGAACCTCTGGCGAACAGAGTGGAACAACGTGGACGTCCAGAATGAACGCCTCCATTCGCGACACAAACATTGCACCCTCTCCGCTCTGACACTGGTGGAACCATCAAACGCATCAGAACACCGACAGGCCAATGCACTACATCTCTTTCATGAATGGAAAATGAAAGACAAGCCGCAGGAGTGAAATGTTGGACATGCAACCCAAACTGGACCATATAATACCCCCCCCCACCCTTGTATTCTGCGCTCCTTAAACGGAGTTGGAATAGCAAAAGTTCGCCAACTCTCTCCTGAAGCCCTCTCGTCCTGCCGAGCAGGCCTCAACATTGCCATTTTAGCTCCTGAATGTATTGCTGCCATATTCAAGTATTGTTTAAACCTTATGGGTGCGATTTTCAATGTTTTCCATGTTTGGTGGTCACCCTGTTATGTGCGGCACGCGATTTGTCCGCTCGTGTTGATTCCGAAGGCAAATCTGTGCTCTGCGATCTGCGCATTTGGTTCTGTTGCAGATCTTGAACGAGGGGTTCGTGCTCTCGTCGGTGCTGATGAGGTTGATGAACTTCATCTTCTTTAAACAAGGGCGAGTTTTTTAAAATCTTTTATTATTATTATTATCCAATGACGTTGAACCATGCTGCAGGAGCGACGGTGCAGCAGTTCGCACGCTGCGCTCTGAAAGCTGACGGTCCAGAGTTCGATTCCGGGCCGCGGCTCCCAGCAACGGCGAGCGATGTGTGTGAACTGGTGCTGTGTGGTCTTCCCCTCTTCACCAGGAGAAGGCGGTACAGCAATTGGACGAATCGCCGTCTGTTTGCAACTGTACGGGGATGGAGTGTTGCCCCCTCGCGTGCGTGGGTTTTCTCCGGGTGCTCTGGTTTCTCCCACTTTAATGAACCCCCCCCATTTAACTGGTATAAAAACAGCTTAAATTTAAAACCCAATGCAGGACCTGCCTGAAAAAAAGTCCTACAACTGGGTGTGATCGTCCTGGGTTAAAGAGTGAAGTATGTCGCACTCATCCGTATCCCTTTACGCCTCAACGAGCCGCACGTCTCGGCGGGCCAGAGCTCGGTGGCCCACTTTTACAAGATCTGTTGCGGGCCGCATCTGGCCCCATGGTCAGCCAGTTGCAGAATCCTATCGTTAGACACCTTCAATTTAAGGGTTGTGATGGCAGCAGGAGTACCGCGGTGGTGAGATTTTAACTACCTCGCCTGGTGTACAGGAGGTCGTGGGTTCGATCCCGACCTTGACGCCTACTGTATATTTGGAGTTTGCATGTCTCTCTCTTCCTGGTCGTGTGGATTTTTATCCCGGGTTCTCAGATTTTTTTCCCTCCGCATTTAGAAACATGCATTTAGAATATTTGCCTACTCTACATTTCCACATGATAAGCCACTTCGTTGAGCTATCAATTCTGGCTAGGTTGCTTCTGAAAAGGAGCTATATAGCTCAATGGGCATGGCAGTATATTTACATCGATGTGATCCAACCCGCAGAATCCGGGAGGTGTTTAGCCCCTACACCCAGCCCACCGACCCCGAGTTCTGGGACATGTGGGTCGCCCTGCGCTGGAATGATGGGCATCTCGTCATCAGCAGGTCAGTGGATACATCCTCCGTTTACTTTACTGTTTAATGAGGTGGGAAACCCCATTGAGATCCATGGCGAGTTCCCAGTGGTATTAGGTGACCTGGTGTAATGCGAGTTGAGTGTTTGGCGAGTGCGAGTGGTGTTGGGTGACTGAGTGTTTGGAGAGTGTGAGTCTCAGGTGCATAATGTCGGGTAGATGTCTGATGAGGCTGTGGTGCATGGAGATGAGTCGTAATGGTTTCAGGTGAATGGTGTCTGTGGAGACTGAGATGTATAGTGATTTGAGCAAAGGTAGCTTACCAAATAAAGTGAACAATCAAATCCATGACATGATATGTTTCTGTGCAGTCGTCGCTGGTGGGTTGAGACCATCAACTTCACCTTTAAAATCTGTTTTAATCACTGGAAGCTGAATCCCACATTCAAACCAAAGGAATCTGTACAGTTTCGGCTCACTGTTCTGATATGGGCATTGACCTCTTTAAGTAACCCTTCCGCCCCAATTGAGGCACTTTCAAAGATCGGTGTTGCGAGGCAGCTGTAACAGGCAGCAGCGGCGGCAGGTTGTACATTTGAGCCCAGGCAAGTATATCTCCCCCAGCACCCACCCCTACCTACATTCGTGTAAAATCTGTGGGGGGGGGGGGGTGCCCAAAACTAACTAAATACTGCGCACGTATTTTGTCGCTATAGCAAACTAAGGAAAGTGGTTGGTCTGCAGAAGATTAAGTTGGCTTGGGTGGTAAACATCACTGGAAGGGGGATACTTGACCGGTGGTCGAGACCGTTGACGGAATGGCAGCCAAAGAAGAGAGGACGCCGAACACCGAGATGCACAGGAGAGAAGAATTGTTGCACCACAGGATCGTGAGGGATGGTGATGGCATTGGGGGAAGCCTTCATCCAGCAGTGGATAGACCATGGCTGTTGCTGCCACTGCTTCACCGCTGTTAAAACGTACAATGTCATCAACCAAAGTGACCCCATCACCCCTCTCCTTCCCCCACCCCCCCCCCACGTATGGTCGTGCTGCCCCTACCAGTGCGGTCCTAATTTTGGCACCGCTGGAAAGAGGCGGTGCCGGGCGTGCGTGTGGTGAACTTTGACCTGTGTGGGTGGTGCCGTGTGCAGTCTCTTGCAGTACATCCAGCAGCGCTGGCAGAACCGGGCACGCTGGGTTGGTGCCCTCGTCGTCACCAGGGTGCCGTGTGAGTTGGCGATTTCCACCGAACCCTGCCCCCCCCCCCCCCCCTGTTGGTGTGCATCACAGAATGTGGATTACAGGCCACCTGTAATCCAGCACTGTTATAGGGGGGGTTGTTGGGTCACGCAAATTTGGGAAATCCTCTACCTTACCCTTGGGCGTCGGTCACCATTTCTTGGCTTACCAAGGTAAAATGGCAGTACATTGCACCTCCGATTACCGCGTTTGGCTACATAAGGTGCAAAAGGAAATCAATATACATACAAGGTTCCATATGTGCGAGTGTGCGTACAGTTATACATATATTACAGAAAATGGATTTTGATCTGTATATTTGTATGGGGGAGTGTTAGCTCCCTCCCACGTGCGAGTTTTCTACAGGTACTCAGATTTTCTCCCACATGTATAAATCCTCATTCCTGGAGTTGGTAAAACATCCCAATTCTGGATGGCAGAGCTTGGGGAATTGTGGACGCCGGTTCTGGCTGCCCTCCCCGCTTGTCTGTGGTTTCCCGTGCCGCTGAATCACGCTTTCTCTCCGAGCGAACAAAAACTTTGTGATACAAAATCTAAATCGTTATTAATCATAAATTAATTGTCATTTCTTATGGAAATTTATTTTTTACATTGATTCATGACTGTTTTTTCTGTGCCCTCCCACCCAGTGCACTTTATTTATGGACCAGCAGACCCTGTGAATCCACACCCAGAATTCGTCAACCACTATCGGTGAGTATGGCATTGACGGAGCAATCCACCTCCGTCAAGTTCACTTACTTGCATCCTCATGCTCAGATTCCTCAGTATGGAAAAACTACAGCGTAACATTGACACTATACCCATTTGCAGGTTGGTGCTGTGGAGCACATTGTTCCACATCAGAACAGTTGTCGCTTGCGGTGCACAAGACTAGATTACCCTTAGGGTTATGGAATAGTCGATATGTGATGTAAGGTGCTTTTACATATGTATCCCTATTCTCTATGTTTTGCTCTCTTCCCAATTTTATTTCATTTGTGCTGTCGCGGGATGTACGTTTTAAACCGTTCAAAACACTTTTAGAGCAGTGCATCACCCCCCCCCCCCCAATATGTTAAATAACCGGCCTGTGGAAGGAGATTTCTTAAAACTCTGCGAGATCCCTTTTAAGTCACCTTATTTATCCACAGATTGGGACGTGCACTTTCCCACATTCCCTGCTCACAGATAAATCTTAATCACATGACAGCAGAACGGATGTTTTTATTATCAGAGCTGCAATTATATTCTTGGTTCTTTCGGTAAAGTCACGTAGAAGGGAAATAATAAAAATATAAAACAATAAAATTCTCACGACGTTTCGACTGCAACACAAGCAATCATCATCTATGTGACTTTACCGAAGGAACCAAGAATATGAATCCCTGCAGTCACGAAAGCTTTAAATCAAAATTTAGAGCTACAATTGTATGTGATGGGTCTTTCCACGCAGCATTGGTGACTGGGCTGAGACGTTCAACTTGTTAAAATTGAGAAACCTGTTTAAAGGTTGGCCGAAGCCCAGATTGATGGTCACGTTGGTGGTAATGATGACCGTGGTGGCAGTGGTGGTGCTGATGCCGAGTGTGGTGTTAATTACTAACTCTGGTGATGGGGAGCGGGAGTGTAGTGGTTAGCGCGTTGCGCTATGAACCCAGCGACCCGAGTTTGGTTCCCGCTCACGGTCAACACCAGTGACGATTATCTGAACCGGTCCTGAGCCTCTCCTAGGTCGACTCGGCCTTAAATGAGTACCTGGTGCGGTGTGTAAACATCGCCACCGGGGAGACAAAGGCGATTGGGCGTGGTGCTGGCCACCCACCCCCTCCTGTACCAAGCCGGCCTTCATAGGTGCTCGCTAACAGCACTTGCCCCTACAGTCGGTTAAGTCTATACGGGGGATCTTTGTATGTTTTGTTGTATGGATGTTACATTTATTTTGCGCCGTACGTAGAACTAAACGCAAAGCAGTTGTCAAGAAATTAGTTTTCAATCTAAATTTAAAAGTGTATAGCTCCAGTGGCTTCCCAATATCGGAAAGACCGTTCTAGATGGCCGCAGAAGCGCATCCGAAAGCGCACAATGCGGTGACCGTCTTTGTTCAATGGCTCGCGAAAAGCCGCCGCTGCGAGGACGAACCGGAGTTTGCACGACGGTTTATGCTCCGTGACGAGATTGGCAAGGTATTGGTGGTTCATTTGTGGCGAGCACTTTGTGTGTGTAACGAATGTGACCTTACAACATATTCGAACTGCGGCCGTGTTGCGTGTAGCTCCCTGCTGCCGCAGTCGGCCGTGAGCGTGCTGGGCGGTCACGTCGGCCACTACCCTCAGCTGGAGGACCCGCAGGCCTTCCTCCACGCGTACATCTCCTTCATCAACTCGTTCTGATCCTAGGCAACTCGTCCTGGACCGCACAGCTGGCTGGTGCCTGTGCGCATGTGTGCGTGCGTGAGCGAACTTAATTAGGTGTGTAACGATGCATCAATTAATTAAAGAGCACTTATTTCACCCACAAGACATGCATCAAATCGCACGAGTAATCGGGTGTTTTTGGTTTGTCTACGTCGTAAATAATGGGTTCATGCGACCCCCCCCAAAACCACTACAGAAGTGGCTCTCAACTTTTTTGGCATGGTGGGCCCCCAAATCAACCCCCCCCCCCTTCAGGTTATAAAGGCCACAATACTCGAAGCTTGCGTGTCCATGCCACTAGTCAACGTGGTTTTAATAAAGCCTGCGCCCCCATTAAGCGCTTTCGGACCCTTGGAGGGTTTGTGACCTCACGGTTTGAGAACTGCTGTACTCAAGACGCTACATTCACCACAGCATTAAAAATATTGATTAACGATGGTGAATCTTGAATTTTAATTTTGCAATTAATTTAAGTGAATCGCTACATGCCTAACAATTGTGTGTGTATGGACGTGTGAATATATAGCGGAAGTGGTGACACATTGCTTTGTGAAAATTGTTTCCAACAATATGCAAACACTTTACGAAATGTGGTGGGTTGTGTGTATGACGTGTGTCCATGTATGTGTGCATTGTGGGGAGAGGTAGTATAATGGTTAGCATGCTGCACTACGAACCCGGCGACCAGAGTGCGATTCCCGATTACGGCCAACACCAGTGATGATTATCTGAATTGGTCGTGGGCCTCCCATAGGTCGACTCGTCCTCAAATGAATACCTGGTGCGGTGCGTAAACATTGGCACTGGGGATAAAGGCAGTAGGGCATGGTGCTGGCCACCCATCCCCTCGTGTGCTGTGCCGGCCTTCATAGGTGCGTGCTAACAGCACTTCCCCCAATAGTCTGTTAAAAGCTATTCGGGGGATCTTTGTTTTTCTGTGCATTGGGCAGCATTTTAACAGTGGTTTGTGCACTGTACTACAATCCTGGATTTGATTCCCAGCCATGGATAACATCAGTGGCAAATGTTAGCATAATAATCTATCCTGGCCCTAACAGCGATAAACTCTGAAAATGAGTACCTGATGCAATGTGTGAGCTATCAGCCCTGGGTGAGACAAAGGTGGTTTGGTTTAGTGCTGGCCACACCATCCGCCCCCCCCCCCATCAGTCTTGCGCGATGCTTGCCAACAGCATCTGCTCATACACGTGTAATAAGGTTTAATGTGGGCATGTATTCTTTGTGTGTGAAAATGCTTGGTTGGGGTTGAGTTGTATTTGCATTTGTGCAAAAATTACCAATAGGGCGACATTCATCTCCACTGAGAGCCTTGAGTCAGTGGTACAAATTCCACATTCTTTTTGTACGGGCAAATCTCTCCAGAAGACAACTTAAATAAATTTACAACCTCAAACAACGCGCAGCATTTGTGTTCCCAGCTCTCCTTAACTGGAAAGTCGCTTTAATTTCTTACGTTCTCATGAATGAAGCTTCAAGCTCGTGTGGTTACATCTCAAGATACCCCCCCGTGGGTAAGCAGCCGTAAGATAACCAACTATTTGCTTTTCGAGATGCACCTGCCGTGAATGCAGAGTGGTACTTCCATCGGATAAATCGCACTGCGTGGCAGACCAAGAGGGAGCTTCGGAAAGAAAAAGCAACAAACAACTCTGGAACTGCCACCGCATTCAATGGCTGTGGCAAGCATTGCCACTCAAGAATTGGCCTACTAAGTCCTCCTAGGCACTGCAAATCTACACAGCTGACCTCGTGATGCGCGACAGAATGGTCTTTCGAGACAAACGGGCCTCGTCATCATCAACACTCCTATCTAATTTGGAAGAACCCCTATCAGGGTTATGAGTGGAGGCCTTTACCAAAATACTGACCTCGACTCCCGGGATTTGGAACCCGGTTGAAGTCGACAAAGACAACACATTTGGGAAAGCTGCAGAAGGCAGCTTGACCCCTTTTTCTAAGTGTGAGCATTTGCGTGAGAGTGATGCTATGTGTATCATGTAGGCATATGCAGCTGTCCTCTGTGTGTATGTGTATAAAGGATGGAATAATAAAAAATGGTGTCCATAAAGGTCTCGTCCACGATTAAAGAAATATTATTCTGGAGCAGTTTAAAACGTGCGATTGGAAATGGTGGCAGCATATTCCTTTATAAGACGTAAGGTTTTTGAAAGCGCAAAGCTTCAGTGATCCTGAACGGTCTCGCACGAGAGGCATTCGAGACAATTGCACGCGAGGTGATGGTGAACACCTGGGGCTCTTGAATCTCTGACGCGGAGCGTGTTACCAACGCTACGGTGAAAGTGTGGAACGTTTAAGGGATGAGACATCTGTGATTTATAAAAAGCGCCTTCCGTATCGAAATATCTCGAGTGCTGTAGGTACTTTTTTTTCCATTGACTTGGTTTAAGCTGCCGTGTACAATTCTGTAATCGTGAATTGGTGCCTTTATGGATGCCCCTTAGATGTTTGAGCGCATATTGTATACCTATTTGGGTTGGAACTGGACAAAAAAAATCTGAGGGTTATTGCTCATCCAGTTTGTACGCGGTTGTACTTTGCGGGGTAGGGGTACGTTTGTGCATCTGCGGTTATGCAAAAACGGTTGCAAAAGCCACTTGTGGTTAGTCAACGTAAGCAAAACGCTTTTCACGGAAGCAGCATCGGCTCTCGCAACACCGGCACCGAACACAAGCACAATAAAAGCAATCGCGTTATAACCGAATTGTATTACTTTGTTAATGATTAATACGAATTTACGTGATTTACTAAGCTCCGTGAGCTACCCTCGGCGCTGCACTTGCAATTGTACACTCGGTCGCCCCACGACTGCCCATCCGTCAGAGGGCCTGTATCTGCTCGTGCGAAACCTCAACTGGAATTATTCCATAGTGTCGTAAAAAAAAACCGTTCTAAACCACCCCGAATGCGCCCGATCTCGCCGGCTGTCTCGGGAAGCCGAGCAGGCCAGAGGGCCCCGTTAGTTACCTGGATGGGTGACCGCCATGAGCTCATGCGTGCCACGTGTTGTAAGCGCGGGGTTTCAAGTTGGAATGGGAGGCTTATTGAGTGTTAACCCATTCATTGTGTGCATGCTGAGTTTTCCATTCAGGTATTCATTCTGGTTTCCTTCCACTTGCAAAACACACATTAATGGAACTAACAAACATCTCAATGGTGTGATCCCTTGGAAAAAAGTCTGCCTCTGACGCTTTCCTCGATACAGACTGGGGATAGAAAATCGTATAAGGTGTGTTTTTTTAATGCAAGCATTTGTTTGTTGATCACGTTATGCAAAACCAAAGAGGCGTATTTTTCTGTGTACGGGGGAGGGGGGGGAGGCATATGCGGAGACGATGTATGACGTGACATTTGTAATAAACTCTTGGCAATTGACTGCCACTGCTGAGCTGTGCATTACTTTTTTGTACGAGACAGGAGGGGGCAGCACAGTCTAATTTCTTCGGCATGTCGGACTGTGTGGTCGGCTGTGTGGTAGTTGAAGCGAGTGGCAGTAGTGTGGGCTGTGTGGTAGTTGAAGCGAGCGGCAGTCGTGTGGGCTGTGTGGTAGTTGAAGCGAGCGGCAGTAGTGTGGGCTGTGTGGTAGTTGAAGCGAGCGGCAGTCGTGTGGGCTGTGTGGTAGTTGAAGCGAGCGGCAATAGTGTGGGCTGTGTGGTAGTTGAAGCGAGCGGCAATAGTGTGGGCTGTGTGGTAGTTGAAGCGAGCGGCAATAGTGTGGGCTGTGTGGTAGTTGAAGCGAGTGGCAGTCGTGTGGGCTGTGTGGTAGTTGAAGCGAGCGACAGTCGTGTGGGCTGTGTGGTAGTTGAAGCGAGCGGCAATAGTGTGACGATTAGGGCGCTGCGCTATGAACACTGCACGACACGAGTTCGATTCCCGCTCGCGGCCAACGCCAGCAATGATTATCTGAACGGGTCCTGGGCCTCCCTTACGTTGACTCGGCCTCAAAACGAGTACCCGGTGCAGTGTGAAAACATTGCCACTAGATGGTCAAAGGTGGCCGGGTGTGCCGCTGACCACCTACCCCCCTCGTGTGCTGTGCCGGCCTTCATAGGTGCTCGCTCTCTGCACTTGGCCCAAGAATATGTTTAGGGTATATGGGGGATCTTTGTCTTTGTTTATCTTAGTGGATGTTAAACCAGATGCGCCTTGTGAGTGGTGTGGCTCATTAGGAAGTGCAACTGAGAAGTAACCATTTCATACTTATCAATGGAGAGAAAGTTACCTTTTTAAGTAAAAGTAAGAAATTAGATGACCTAACCCCCACATGTAACCCTATATAGTCTTCCAGACTATCATGTTATACTTAACCTAACAAAACGAGACAACCAAACCCTCACTATGCCTCACCCTACCACCTCATAATTTCAAGCCCCGATTTAAAAAAAATCTGCGTTTCCCCTGTTGAACAAATGATGTGTTAGGGTGGTGCTCCAGCTGTTGAAATCTCAAAATCCTCGGCAGAACCATACCCACAGGACAATCAGGCAGTTTATTTCCCACAGAGCGTGACTAGTTTACCTACCCCAGAGTGAGGACAATTATGGCCTGAATCGGTCCTTCGTCATAATTTTTACTTCATATTGCGAGTCGAATGCAAGCGCGTGTCCTGGTGTAAGTTAGTGAAATGTATCTGCAGAGTGGTAGAACACAGACCGGTGGACTGGGTCGCTTAACCAGCGTGGTTGACTCCGAATTGACCGCTGGGACAGATGGACGGACGAACAGATGGACATGCGGGTGGGCAAACGGACCAACAATTGAAGGTGGACAGCAAGCGTAACAAAAAGGTGAATGGATAGAAAAAGGAACGGACAGACACCGACGAATGGAAAGATTGACGGACAGACAGGCGGAGTTGCAGACGGATGGATGGGCAGACGAACGGAGCCGCACGCGATCAGATAAATGGAAGTATATGCAGACGGATGGAGATACAGACTCGAATACAGATGGATGCAGATACGCGGATAGAAATATAGTCGTACGGACGTACATACAAACAGGTGGATGAGCGGGCAGACGGTTTGGGGCTTCTAAAGGCCAACCGGGATCAACAGTTGGTCCCCAGGCAGGGCTGCCCCTCCACGTGGTGCTGGTGGCTGCCAGGCTGCGCGTGTACGGGACACACGAGCGGTTTCACGCGGCCCGCGGCCCACGCTGGGGCCGCGGCCTCGGGGTGGCCGGCACGACGCTCGTGCAGGGCAGCACCGTCGCCCGCCCCCTCGCGTCCACGCGTCCTGCCGGGGTCAGCAGCAAATGTCACTTTGTTAAGGACATTTGCGGGCAAAATGTTTTTTTTTCCCAACGACGTGTTTTTATACAGGGTGCTTTTAAAAAATGTTAACACTTATATAGGACGATCATTTTTAATGGAAAAAGAACGTACAATGACGGAAAAAGTATTTGATCCCCTGCTGATTTTGTACGTTTGCCCACTGACAAAGAAATTATCAGTCTATAATTTTAATGGTAGGTTTATTTGAACAGTGAGAGACAGAATAACAACAAGAAAATCCAGAAAAAGGCATGTCAAAAAATTTATAAATTGATTTGCATTTTAATGAGGGAAATAAGTATTTGACCTCTCAATCAGAAAGATTTCTGGCTCCCAGGTGTCTTTTATACAGGTAACGAGCTGAGATTAGGAGCACACTCTTAAAGGGAGTGCTCCTAATCT